ACCAAGCACACGTGTCAGACAGGAACTTGGAGTTGCGGCGATTCACTAAATTAATTATTCTGTCGTAAGTTTCCAAATATGGCAAGAAAATTAGCATGTGTTAGTTTCGACGCCTTAATGCTTAATCTGTAATCAAAGCAATACAAAATAGCTATATTCAGTGTATATTGCAATATAATATGATGTAGCTGATACCATCATACTAAACCCGCCTATTAATTTACTTACAAAAATTCCTGCTAAGAGTTAGTAACCTATTCTTTAAATTTTTAACAGATTTTTTTTTGTCAACATACATTATTATGCAAGAAAATTTTGAACTTGTATAGTTAATACAAACCACTAAACTGCATGTTCTAATCAATTTATTTTCAACAGTACTAATCTTTTGAACAAAGGTTAAATAATGAGATCAATATTGCAATTGCAAAAGGAAAATAAATCTTAAATGCAATACGCATCTGTGACTGGCACACGTGGGAGAAGCAGAAACAGCTCCTGGGAACACCAATTGATGGATGCCTTCGCACGCTCCACCGCAGAATCCGTACACCTGATCCTTTTTCTTAATTCTTTTGTGATTTTATTGAAAAGTTTCGATTTTCGGTTCAGATAAATTACTCTGGCTCCCATAATATTTCAAATCACAGTAATAATTCAAAAGTTAAAAGAACAAAAATGAAACAGAAAGATCGAATCAAAACGAACCGAACCACATTGAATCTAAATTTGATTCTATCAGATTTCTTTCAAACCGAGCTAAACCAAATGCAAACCCTAATCAAATTCGATTTGTAAACCGCTGAAATCTTAGGAGATTCAGGTGGGGCCCGAAATGAACATCATAGTAATAAAGATCCATAAGGACCATGTGGGCTTGACTGCTTCGAACCAATCACATCTCGAATCTCAAACTTATCTTCAGATTTTGCTAATTTTCCTATTAACAAAGAATCTTAAAGTGCTTCCAAGTGACCAAATCCCCAATTATCGTCGTCTTAAGATAAAAGATTTAGTTCTCATTCACGCCAGGTGTCAATCATCAGCGAATCATTTCGATTTTACCAATGATAATCATTCTTTTCTTTTGTTCGACGGGTGTTTAAACCTGTCTTAAGTCTTAAGCTTCAAGTTTCAACTTTCAAGTTTCCGTATATTTGAAGTCCAAAGAACAAACTATCTACAACTAATATCATTCTTTGTATATTTTTTTCTTTAATGTAAAAGCATTCTTCACTGTTTTTTTTTCAAATAATGACTAAACCAAATATCTAACGCATGTTTACTCAGATTATGATCCAGTATTAGTAACTTTATCTCTTCTTCTTGTTGGTGCTATAACACGTGATTTGGTACCCAGGGTGATAGTGTTATTGATAATAAGCCTTATTCAGATTATTGATCAGACCAAGAAAAGGAGATAAGGTGTGTCGCTTTTGATGTTTTAAAAACTAAATCCCACATGATATTTGGGTCCATGAAGTTTTTAATTTTATCTTCTTCTTTTTCAGATTTCCGAAGATAGTTGTTATAGTTTGTAATTGCAAAGGTCGAGTTGAAAAATGGCCTTGGAACTTGAAGACTGGTGGAAATTGTACAAAATGTTCCAAAGTTGTTGGCCATTATTTCATTTTCACCTTTTCTTCTGTGATAGTAAGTAAAACTAATAGAGATAATAACTACAATTAGTAAAGAGAAATCTTAATATATGTATTGGTTTTTATAATTTACTAAAGAAACCAGCTTTCGTTTAGTTTTTGGAAAAATATGCTCATGAGAGAAGGATACGCACGTGAAAGACAGAGAGTAAAAGGGAAAAATACATTGTTGGGTGTCTGTCAGTGTCTTTTGCCATACTCTTTCTGGCAATACCTTTGTGGTGTCGATGACGTTACGCATTTCGAATGCTAATTATATTAGGGTTTAACATCTTCACTTGAGGTTTTAGATCTTAATTAGTATTTAGGTTTAAAATCTCAATGTTTTGATTTTGCGTAGGGGGTTTACTGTGAATGAAAATTTTGATTCCCTTAAAGATCTTTTGATTCCCATTTTTTTTCTTCTTCAAAAACTGTTATGTTATGAGAAACATATTTGGTTGTGTTCACATTTGCACCCAAAAAAAAAAAACATATTTGGTTGTGCTTTGATGATATCTGGAAACAAAAGATATATAAATAAATACATTTCCAAATCTCTGTTTTTTTAATTTTGCATCATAATGAGCACGTGATGAACAATACTCAATTACTCACGATAATATTTTTTATACATGAACACTAGTATATTTCTGTCAACGTAAAGATGTTTATGTAATAGTGCAAGCTATATATACAAATTTGAGGGGATGTTTTTGAAGAAATTTAATTATAATTTATATTTAAATGATTTATTTCATACATCTAGACTCTAGAGTTTCGTAAATTGGAATAACCAATCGAAGAAAAACATATCATCTTACAGAACATAAAACTTTATAGATCCCTTACCAAACGTGTCACACTATAAATTAAAGAAATTTAAAAACTAGAAACGAATCGATTAAGTTACACTTAAACAAGTTAAACAAATATGTATTTAAAGTACCATAATGGATTAATGGCATAATATATTGTGCAGTCGGGATCAACGGTAACACTAGTTGAAAATGTCATCATAACTCACTAGTGTATCAAAACTTATTATCTATAGAATGATTACTTGCATAGTTCTTAAGGTAATCCGGGAAATGTGAGAGCATGATTTAAAGAGATAGTGTGTTGCATAATTGAGTATAGCCCAAAAAGGAATTGACAATTAGTTTTACTTAGGCTCTAATTGGTGAGCAAGGAATAATGGGGAATAAGACAATTCCCCTTCATTCCTTAAAAATTACACCATTTATAAGGAATGTGTATTCTATATTATTCCTTACTATTTCATATTAATTAGGGAATTATAGTGTTAAAATATTCCTTACAAAATATGAGGAGGAATGAGTTACATATATTTTATTCCTCTTCATTCCATTCTTTCTCATTCCTTTCGTTCTTTTACAGGTCACCGGTTAGAGCCTTAGAGTGCCCAAAATGTTATTTGTCCTTTACAAATTAATTAATTCAATTGTCATAAGATTCGTACTTCGTTACGATATATGCCCCTTTATTAGAACTGTATATACTTAAAAATGTGATCTTCCTCTAAAGTAATCTTACCTATCGGAAAGCTATACAATATTTGTATGATGTATAAATTGTTAACACTAAAACGGTAGGTAAAGCGTGGATGAATTTCTTAAAAATATGCTGGAATTAGTAAGAAAAACTTCCGTTTCTCTGTGGGCCATGATTCGTTAGTAATTCGTAAGAATAACTTCGTTTCAGTTATGGCCCAGAAGCCCATTAACATGGATTTTTAGTGAGGGCCTAACTAATACTATAATTATTATCCATATAATGTTTTCTTTGATTCTAGTACTAAAGTTTCCAATCATTACTTCGGATTAAAATACCCGTAGATGTTGATGGAGCATATCGAATGTTGATGGAGCGAGCATACACAATATAATATAGACATGAAATAGACTATACAGAAATATGATGGATGGTCCTTTTCATTGCTTTGCTTGACAGTTGACAGTCGACACACATCACTTCTTTAAATAACAGACTAAAACCAACAAAGTTCATAGAAAATTTGGGTTTTTTTTTTTGTTTCTAATGAAAACGTCTACGGATGACCATCTATTATTGAATCCCAACAACAATTATTCGGCCACCATAAAATAATTAGCACATCATCATTTTTCAATAATTTTATTAGTATTTTATTTCATTGGAAGAATTGAAATTTTGGGTTAATGGTTTATTCTCCAGTTAAACATACTAGAAACCTCAAAGATATATCAAATTTTTCAAGAAACACAATTAACTGTTGATATATCTTTTTCCACGACAGTATTTTTTTTTGTTAAATACTGTATATAGTTGATTTTTATCATCATAATGTATTAATTTTTTTCAAATACAGTATATATTTTCTAATTATAAATTGTTGTCAAACAAATGTATCTATGTTTAGTATGTTATTAACACCAAGATTTGAAGACTTGAATTCAAATCTATTGGATTTGACTGAATATTAAGTTGTATGCCTTTTTTTAACTAAAAATCTTTTGAATTTTTTGAAGTCAGTGAAAGTCAAAAACTACTGGCAATGACATGTTCATATTCCTTGACAGCAATACATTCATAAAACTTATAAAACCGTCAAGTATCTTATGTATAATATGGTTGTTGTTACTGCTTTTAATCATAGTTTTCTCTTAATAAAAAGCATATTGCTATTGTTTATCTAGATAATTTGATTTATATAAATCATGTAAATTTAGAATCAGGTCGTCTTTATGTCATTATTGTTATTTGCCAAAAACAAAATAGCGAAGTACACCTGGCATTGACTTATTTAGATGCTCAAATAATAATTATGAAAAGATGGACTAAGATTTTGAAATTAAGATATGGTGAGCCTAGTCTATTAACTTACCATACATTTCACATAATCAAAAGGAAACAAATTTGAGTACTTTTTATTTTCTATGTTGCCACAAGTATATATATAAATACACCTCCTCTGCATGTGGATCTGAATTATAGAAGATTGCGATCTCATATTTTTGTTAATTAGAGATTATAATCTAGCTGAATAATAAGGTAGTATATCAGAAAGAAAATAATAAATTACGATAAATATAACTTTCTTCAGCGAAAAGAGCTTTTATTCTTTCTCCGAGGAATCAAAACTGCAACGGAACACAACACAGAAGAAAACTGGTTTAGTTTATTTAAGTACTGGTACGTGTTCGGTGTCTTCATTTAAATGTTTATTTCTAAGTAACTGTAATAATGTGTAAAGAGTTTTAGACATTATCCATTCGGATCTACTGAATTGATTACAATTCATACAAAAGGTTAACATAACAGTTCTATAGATGATAACGTATAATTCTGTAATCTTTTCGAATGTTTAGCGAATTAGCGAAGGAGATGGAAAACGCAGCTCCGGGAGTGAAGGTGGGTCGGGTCATGACTCAGGTTTTCGTTCTGATGTTCCTTCTTCAATGTGTTCATTCCCGAACGTCACGGTAAGCTAGCTCTCTTAACTTTTATGTCTTTTCAAAACTCAATTAGATTGTCATAAGACTTGTGATTTTTTCTTACTAAAAAATTAGAGGGACAATAATTATGTTTTTTCTCTCGTGAATTTTCTTTATATATATATATTTTTAAAGAGTCAAACTTTAAAGATAGATTAGATTTATTTCCCCTTTTGTATCTAATCTACGGTTGAATCTACACCTAGGTCTATGTACATTCAAACCTTTTCAAAAATTTGCAGTTCTTCTTATTGCAGAAACAAGCTAAACATCATTAAACCGGGACAAAAGCTCGCACCTCCCTCAGTTACGCTAAACAATATTGCTCCTAACCAGGTACGGTCGAAATGTTTATATCATTTCTTCATATTTTAGTTTAATTTTGCTTACTCCAGGTTTTCATCTTTTGATAAATTAGAAATTTCAGTCCAAAATGTTACTTATGTGATTCGATGTTTATTCTTTTGTTGTTTAAGGTGGTCGTTGATAACGGTATCATCCAAGTTACATTCTCGAGTCCACAAGGCTTAATAACCGGAATCAAGTACAAGGGCTTCGCCAATGTGTTGAACGACGAAATTGATCGTCGCGGGTACGATCTTAGTTTTAATAGTTTCTGATAAAAGTATATATTTTTAAAAAATGTTTCGTATGGTAAGGCCTTCTGCAAAAAAAAGAATGTTTCGTATCGATATATAACTATTATAATATATAGGTACTGGGACGTAGTATGGTATGAACAAGAAGAAAAACCGCGAACCGATCTGTGAGTTTTCGGATCTCTCTTCGTATCTTTTTGTTAACCATACCTATTTTTCATAACCTTTATACTAGGCTACTATACATATTTATTTATATCATATTACGTTTTAACAGTTTATTTGGAGAAAAGTTCGAAATTATAAATCAAACAAAGGAGCATGTCGAAATATCATTTTCGAGAACATGGGATATCTCTCAACGTGGCTCGGTAGCCCCGTTAAACGTAGACAAACGGTAAGTAGATTTGTAAGAAAACTCTGTTACTAAATTTCTTTTTAGAAGTTTAATAGAGATTAATCATATTCGAAAATATTTCTCTTTAAAGATATATTATTCGAAGTGGTGTGTCCGGAGTATACATGTACGGTGTGTTAGAGAGGCTAAAAGGTTGGCCAGACGTGGACATGGACCAAACCAGGATCGTCTTTAAGCTCAACACAACAAAGTAATTACCATTGTGTTTTTATTAGACTTTTTAATTTATGTTTCAATGCTAAAAGTGTTGTTGTGACTGAGAAATAACTTGTTTTTTCTAATGGAACATATTTGTTCAGATTCGATTTTATGGCTGTATCAGATGATCGGCAGAAAATAATGCCTTCTGCAGCAGATCGAGACATCACCGATGGTGCTGCAAGTCCATTAGCTTACAAAGAAGCTGTTCATTTGATAAATCCAGGAAATCCTATACTTAAAGGACAGGTATATACAAATTAATCAATAATTAAATAGTAACATATGTATATGTATAAATGATTGGGGTAAAAAAGAATATTTTTTACTGGGGTAAATGATTGGGTGTGACGCAGGTTGACGATAAGTATATGTACTCAATGGAAGACGGAGACAACAAAGTACATGGTTGGATTTCTTCGGACCAACGTGTCGGCTTTTGGATGATTACTCCCAGCGATGAGTTCCGTGTCTGTGGGCCCATCAAACAAGATCTCACCTCTCATGTGGGACCCACCACCCTCTCAGTCAGTCCCACCTCTCTGAACAAATTCTTTTGAACAGAAAATAAAATATAACATATGCAATTTTATGGCTACGAAAATGTGAATTACATAATAAGTTAAAATTTACTTTTGTTCTCTTATTCGGGTTTAAGAATAATAACGTACGGTGATTTAGATGTTTACAAGTGTACACTACGCGGGAAAAGAGATGAACACAACTTATTCAAGCAAGGAGCCATGGAAGAAGGTGTTTGGTCCTGTCCTTGTTTATCTCAACTCTGCACCTACTCCTGATCTTCTCTGGACCGATGCTAAACGACAGGTTTCATCGTCGTATCATTGATCCATTAGTTAATTATTTCATTAAATTATTATAATCATCATGATCATTGTTTTTGCAAATGAAATTTGTTAAACCAATTTTATAGATGGCCACTGAGGTCGAAAGTTGGCCTTATGATTTCGTGAAGTCAGTGGATTACCCTCTTCATCACCAAAGAGGGACGGTCAAGGGTCAATTCTTTGTCATGGACAGGTATACAAATAGTTTTTTTTTTCTCTGTTTTCTTAATTTATGAATACTCTTAAATCCCAATGTCTGAAATTACATGTAGTCACAAAAACAAGACGAAGATTTTCGGGGAATTTGCTTTCGTGGGTTTAGCATTACCTGGTAAAGCTGGTTCATGGCAAACCGAAAACAAGGTACTCTATCTTAATTTTGTGATATAATACTATAGACAGTAGTCTAAGTTTGGCTATGAGACTTTTAGATGATAAATAAAATAAACTAACGGCTTTTAATATTTTTTTGGAAAAGGGGTATCAATTTTGGACAGGAGCAGACAAAATGGGGATGTTCACACTAGCAAATGTGAGACCAGGGAATTATAGTCTTTACGCCTCGGTTCCTGGATTTATTGGTGACTATATTTACGAGCATGTCGTTACCATCACACCAGGTATATATAGTTTATCCATATCACATCTTTCTGGTATATAGTTATATACAAAATGAAAAGTGTGTTTAAAGACCCATATTGATCCAACTAGAGAAGCATATGATCATATAAGTTACCATATAACTCAATTGTGTGTTTGGTCTTGTGTAGGTAAAGAGATAAACGTAGGACCCATAGTGTACGAGCCGCCTAGAAACGGTCCCACGCTGTGGGAGATCGGAGTACCTGACCGGACCGCCGCAGAATTCTATATCCCAGATCCAAACCCAACACTTTTTACCAAACTCTACCTTAATCACTCAAATCCTCCTCAGCACAGGTAATATATATGATCAAGCATAGTTGTTACAGTACTCTATATAGTTTTTAGAATATATATACTAAACGGTATTTATCTGTCTAATAATAATACAGATTTAGACAATATGGTCTATGGGATCGTTACAGTGTTTTGTATCCTCGAAATGATCTTATATATCATACTGGAGTGAGTGACTATAAAAAAGACTGGTTCTATGCTCAAGTCATCAGGTAATAAAAATATATTAACATTTCAAAAAAATATTTACAGTTTTATCTTCACTTAAAACGTTGTTGTATATACAGAAAAGCTGGAAATGGGACACATCAAGCAACGACATGGCAAATTGTGTTTAACCTAAAAGCAGTGACTCAAACAGGAAACTACACGCTTCGAGTGGCTTTGGCTGCAGCGACGGCTGCTGATTTATTAGTTCGGGTTAACGAAGCCAATTCCGAACCTATTTTCACGACCGGGTTAATAGGTCGGGATAACGCGATCGCTAGGCATGGAATTCATGGATTGTACAAATTGTACAGTATCGATGTTCATGGGAAATTGCTTAGGGTTGGTAACAATACGATTTTTCTTACTCAAGATCGGTGCGCTAATTTGTTTTCAGGTGTTATGTATGATTATCTTCGTTTGGAAGCTCCTTCTGAAGTTCGATAAATTATGTAATAAAAAATTAGGGGGTTAGAAAAGGGGAAAAGCTTTGTTTCATATATACAACAGTGATGAAAGGTTAAATTTGTTGGCAGCTTGTTGGCTAATCTTAGTAATAAGTTTTGTTTCATATATGATAATTCTCAAATCAAACGGCAGCGTTTTAAATCCATTTGCTGTATATATAAAGCTAGGTACTTTGGTCCCTTAATTCCTTGAAAGTATAGAAAAATAAAAAAGAGTGAGAGATGGAGAGATTAGGAGAGAGAGAGAAGAGCGTTCATGAGGCGTTTGGCTGGGCCGCGAGAGACTCATCAGGCCATCTCTCTCCCTTTGTCTTTTCTAGAAGGTAACGTACGTGAATGAGTTGCGTCATGATGTTTGTAGTTTGTTGCATCATGGCTGATTAATGTAGCCATGATGAAGATGATGCTACATGATGGTAAATTTGCGCAGAGAAACAGGAGAGGAAGAAGTGAGAGTGAAGGTGTTATACTGTGGAATATGTCACAGTGATCTCCATTGTCTCAAGAACGAATGGCATTCCTCTATTTACCCTCTGGTTCCTGGGTACGCAAATTTTCGTGTGAACTTTACTTTTTTTTTAGGTTCGCTCTTTCTGAATTAATTAGCCCTTTTTTTTTTACTGTGAAAAACCAAATGGAAGGTTTGGTTAGTTACCATGGCTTCTGATTTATTAAGCTAAATTGACCCCGAAAAAAGTCCACTCATCATATATACATTGGGTAATAGGTAACATTATATTCTACCCCATGTTTCAGAAAATTATTTTAAAATGGATCGATTTGGTTGGTAAAAAAAATTAGAGACCAAAAAAATAATTGAGTGGAATTAATTGTGGCAAATTCTTGTTTGCTCACTGTTTATAGTGGAGCACTTACTTAGCTCTTTTCTTTTTGCTAAATTAAAATAATGTTAGACAGATAAATCAATTATTACTCTCACATAAGCTTTGCCAAAAATGAGCACTCACCTCCATTATTACCACACCATCACTTAAAGTTGACTATTAGGATCTCTTTTTATGTTCTAAAAAGTGATTTCGCATATAACGACTTTATTATAAATAAATATGAATTTTTAAAAACAAAAACATTAAACTTTTGTTATTTATTTTTACTACCTTCTTAATGCTCCCAACGCAAAAAGGTAAAAAAAAAGTTTCAGTAACATGGAAAGAAAAGTTTAATCTCATACAGTCACGAGATCGTTGGAGAAGTGAGTGAGATTGGGAGAAAAGTAAGTAAGTTCAATATCGGAGACAAAGTTGGTGTGGGATGCATAGTAGATTCGTGCCGCGCGTGTGAGAGCTGCCGTGAAGATCAAGAAAACTATTGCACCAAAGCAGTCGCAACCTATAACGGAGTTCATAATGACGGAACGGTTAACTACGGTGGATACTCCGACCACGTCGTTGTTGACGAACGTTACGCCGTCAAAATTCCCCACATGTTGCCTCTTGCTTCAGCCGCACCTTTGCTTTGTGCAGGTTTAAATCAATTCAGAATAATTACGTTTCATTTGATGATTATTAATTTCGCGGCCCGCAATATTTTTCTAAATGTTACGTATAGGCATCTCGATGTATAGTCCAATGAAGTACTTTGGATTGGCCGGACCGGGGAAACATGTCGGAATTGTGGGACTAGGTGGTCTTGGACACATTGGGGTGAGGTTTGCTAAGGCATTTGGGACCAAAGTCACAGTGGTTAGTTCGACCGCAGGGAAATGTAAGGATGCTCTTGAAAATCTTGGAGCTGATGGGTTCTTGGTTAGTACTGATGAAGACCAAATGCAGGTAAAAATTAAACCATAAATATATCAATTTTTAATGTTTTATTTTCAATTCTTAGGAGATTCAATTTCAAAACCAGTTATCAATGAAAATGTATTAATTCTAACGAATTTTGAGTATATTATGTTAGGCCGCAATGGGAACTATGGATGGCATAATCGATACTGTTTCTGCATCACATTCAATTGTACCATTAATTGGACTACTCAAATCCAACGGTAAACTTGTTCTACTCAGTGCAGCAGAGAAGCCATTTGATCTACCTTCATTTTCCTTAATTATGGGTAAACATAATTAAATAACAAGCCTATGTAATTAATTAGACCGTTTTATTAGCTAGTTTAATTATGGTTAACTTTCACTAATGAAACCGTATATCTATAGGAAGGAAATCGGTGGTGGGAAGTGGTATTGGAGGAATGAAAGAGACGCAAGAGATGATTGATTTTGCAGCTGAGCATGGCATAGAAGCAGACGTTGAGATAATATCAATGGAGTATGTGAACACCGCCATGGATAGACTTGCAAAAGGAGATGTTAGGTATCGTTTTGTCATCGACATCGCAAACACATTGGTTGCTGCTTCTCGCTCTTAAACTCCACGTTGTATGTGTGTTCGCATAATCATAAGTCCGGATTTTTAATATGACATTTCGCGATATTCCTAATTTGTATTTTTGTATAAGGACTAAAAGCTCGAAATGGTCCGCACACATTCACCTGTCAGAGTTCTTTGAAAACTGAGTGGGCCTGCAAGAAAAATGCCATTTTTATAACAACTTTGTGGTTGAACAACATGTTCCACGTGGGGATTATATTTTGCTGTGAAGATAATCCCCTCCATAGTACGCTAATTAATTGTTGACATTTTCTGCGGGCAACCACATGTAAACGGACCCATTCTGAAGCATATATTGGTTCTCGTGTATGTATACTCTATGGTATAAATATTCTTAAAAAATATATAAAATATACCTACTGATTTCTCGTGGATGTAGTGAAATATGGTCCAAATTAATGAGGAATGAGGAATGGTCCTCACTGCTCCCTCATTCACATCGGAGTATTAAATGGGTCTCTCTCCTCATTACTTCTACACTTCTCTAAATTATTAGAGTCACTCAAAGAAAAATCTTAGATCTTGTTTATTCACAATGGGGAAAGTTCTTGAGAAGGAGGCGTACGGATTGGCTGCAAAAGACGAATCCGGAGTTCTCTCGCCTTTCCGTTTCACAAGAAGGTTCCAGTTTTCTATTCAACAAATTAGTAACTACCGGTCTTGTTTCGAATATAGGATTCTATGTATTTTGTTTCTTTGAATGAAATTGAAGTTTTTTTGTGTGTGTGGAATTAATGTGTAGGGAGACGGGAGAGAAGGATGTTAGGTTGAAAGTGTTGTTCTGCGGAATTTGCCACACTGATGTGAGTATGGCCAAAAACGAATGGGGTTTTACTACTTACCCTCTGGTCCCCGGGTAAAGATTATATCTCTACACTATTGAATTGGAGATCCGTTTCAAGAATTAGAAATATTTAGAGAGTCTCAGTCTAATACTAGATAGTATATATCTGAAAGCCATAGATCTGACGGATTTGAATATGCTATACCTTCTTATGCGTGTTTGAGTGTTCGTTTACATTAGTGTGAAAACAAGTTAAAGATGGTACCTACTATGCAATTTTAACATTTAAACCTTTTTAATACATTCAGAGGGTGTAACGCCAGGCTATTTTAGCCTTTTCTGTTTTGAGTTTCGCTTTAGTTTTAGCCGTTGTGGAATGTAACGGCTAAATCACGAAAGTGTTACGGAGTTGCTTCTTCCTTGCAACGAATCATGTAGTGACATTTGGCATAGTTGGCTTATTACCGTTGTGTATCAATTTGCATTTCACACTGATTTTCCTCACACTATTATGTATTGTGATAAATTATATTTAACTATGTCCTACTTCATCGCAGTTATTTTTATGTTATTTTTTTTTACCTTTTTATTTACCTTCTGTGACATTCGAAAATCAAAATGTTTCCAGGCATGAGATCGTGGGCGTGGTCACTGAAGTTGGAGCCAAAGTGACTAAATTCAAAGCCGGAGACAAAGTTGGAGTTGGGTATATGGCCAGCTCGTGCCGGTCTTGTGTCAGCTGCACCGATGACCAAGAGAACTACTGTCCAAAAATGATCATGACGTCCGGATCCAAGTACTACGACGACACCCTAACACACGGTGGCTACTCCGACCACATGGTTTGTGAAGAGAGTTACGTCATCCGTATCCCGGAAAATCTCCCACTGGACGCTGCGGCGCCGCTACTCTGCGCCGGGGTCACGGTCTACTCCCCGCTTAAGTACCACGGGCTCGACAAGCCCGGTATGCACATTGGTGTGGTGGGACTAGGCGGTTTAGGTCACGTGGCAGTGAAGTTTGCTAAGGCTATGGGTACTAAGGTTACGGTTATTAGTACTTCGGAGAGAAAGAAAGAGGAGGCGATTAATCGGCTTGGTGCGGATCTGTTCTTGGTGAGCCGTGACCAAGAACAGATGAAAGATGCAATGGGGACTATGGATGGTATAATCGATACCGTGTCTGCCACTCATCCGCTTCTTCCGCTGCTTGGTTTGCTTAAGTATAAGGGGAAACTTGTTATGGTTGGTGTTCCGGAGAAACCACTCGAGCTTCCTGTCATGCCTCTCATCCTTGGTAAGACCCTAATCGTTATCTCATATGATATATATTATTTAAGCGTCCAATAGATAAAAGTTGGGGATATGTTCTTGTGGTTGTGTATATATAGGGAAGAAGATGGTAATGGGAAGTATGATAGGAGGGATAAAGGAGACTCAAGAGATGGTGGATTTCGCCGGAAAACACAACATCGCAGCGGATATTGAGCTTATCTCTGCGGATTATGTCGGCACCGCCATGGAACGTCTACAGAAGGCCGACGTTAGATACCGTTTTGTGATTGATGTTGCCAACACACTGAAGCCTCTTCCTTGATTAGAAAAAGCTTAAAAATTGAATTTCCCGAAAATATTTTTTCTTGTGTTGTTTGTTGTAATAAGTTTCGTGATGTTTGGAGAGGACTTTGTGTGTAGTATTAATTACTACTATCCTTTATCAATTGAATAAACTTGAATATATTATTTCTTCGCTATATCATGATAAGATTTTGGGGAAGCCTAGTTAAAATTTTAATTCGAATTGTAGGTTTTTGACTGGGTGATATTGAAAATCTCAAAAATATTGGAAAACAAAAATATTATATAAGTGGTATATTAGTAAGTAGACTTTCGTTTTTTTGGGTTGTTGTTGATGAATATTAAGTGGTCTTGTTCTTAAGGTTGAAAATATGTCGGGTGTGAATGATAGGCGTTGTTCCAGCGATGAAAGCGATATGATTTAAATGGATGACTAAAAAAGTACCAAGATTTTGATATAAAGTCTTCTAAATGGAGACTAACTCTTGATAGTCTATTATTTCGGGACTAACTAAATTCGAACTTTTCTTTTGGAATAGTGATTAAGTGCATGTATCCTAACAGTGTAAACACATTTTGATTATGAGTATGTTACGTGGACGGAACTATTTGGGAGCAGCGCAAGTATAAACATATCTTATCAACCTTTTCAACACGTGACCATCTTATAAAACTGTTGTGAAAGACTTTTTCTCCCAGGCACGATCGAGAACGGTCTTTACCCGCCTGTCAGATCAACGTCTAGCTTGGTTATCTGCTGAACCTTTCCTCCTTTAGATAGTTTTTTCAAAAAACTGCCGCGCCTGGATTTCTGAACCCGGGTTCCACCCCCGACACTCTAGTCGGAGGGTCCGCCCTTTGACCGCCGGTAAGCCCCCTTCACTATTTCTCTTCTATCCAACCGCCAGTAAACCTCCATCTCGCAAATCTCTATCACAAACCTCCGCAACACAATGGTAAAACGCTTCTCGTATGCTGAGAAAGGGAAAAGGATTGCAACTTCTGAAGATCTCTTACCACCCCGACTTCGTATCCGCGCTCCACCTATGGACAACGCAGATCTAATCCGTAAGAATGCTCTAACCCTCATCGGCCGGCTCACGAACCCTCAAGAGCAGCGAATGAGAACGATGATCCCATACTTCGCCAACAAGTGGGAACTTCGTGGTAACGTTACTGGCTCAGACCTTGGAGACGGATGCTTCCAGTTCCGCTTTGATTACGAGAATGACCTTAAGAAAGTCTTGGAGAATCGACCGTACCAGTAAGTGGATGGTGATACTAGAGCAATGGAAACCAATCATCTCCTCTGAGTTCCCCTTTCAAATTCCTTTCTGGATATCCCTCAGAGGCATACCACTACACTACTGGAAACAAGAACTCCTCAGTGATATCGGTAGGAAGATAGGCTCTCTCATATCCTACGAACTAACAGCAACGGCAGCTAAGATAAAGGTAGAGATGGATGGACTGAGATCCATTACCAAGGAAGCTGTAGTCGAATTTGAAGGAGGGTTTGAAGCCCTTGTAACCCTCGACTACCACAAACTAGATAAACACTGTTCCTACTGCTTCAAGCTCTCCCATGAAGCTGAAAGCTGCCCTCTCAAACCCAGACCCCAACCCTCTCCAACAACAGAAGGACCCCTGCACTCCTCGAAAGCAAACCACCTCAAACCCCGTTCTTCAACAGACCCCAAGAGGAAACCACACAACGCCACCAAGTTGACCTTGGATCTGAGAAAACCAAAGATGACCGCTACTCTCAAAGACGCCCTCCGAGAAGTCGTAACCCTTCTAGCCCCCGACACATCACCACGCAGAGAAAGTCCACACCACGCAACAGCCCCAACCGACCTAACCTCTCCCCATACTCCCAAAGGAACCGAGACCACCAGTTAGCGAGGGGCCACCGGGACCACAGCCGCCGCCTTCCACGACCTGAAACAGAGGAAATAAGATCCAAATCAACAGCACGATCCTCCCCACAGGACACCCGGAACAACAACCAGGCGCATAGACATTCGCCACCTTACCAAGTCTGGAGAGAGAAGAACCGGCAACAAACTGAGGTCTCGGGAGACAACTTCCATACAAGCCGGCAGCGCCAAACTCCTCTAGGAAGAAACCTGGCCCGTGATGACTTCTCAACACCATCACAAAGAACCCAAGTGCCAACTAGCTCGCCACAAAGGCTTCAAACACCAGAGGAGATCAGACAAGACCTACAAGATGTAACGATACGATACATAAACTGTGGAAATGAAGCAGAAAGTGCAGCACGAAGACAACGTGCCCTAGAAAGTGACAACAATGGGCTACTAGAAGAGACGGTTAATTACCTCTACAATGCGCCCTCCAACCATGTCCACCAAGAACCTTCAGCAGCTCTAACAAATTGCCCACCAACATCCCTTCCAGAGAGGATCCCAAACCCTCCAATGGAGGAACCTGAAAGAGAAGATCGCATAGGATCAGCTGAACGAGGCCTCACTCTTAACCAACCAAAGAAACCAAGAGGACGACCTCCAACAAAGGGCCCCGGGAAGAATCAGAAACAATCCTCGGCAGGACCTAGCAGGAGAAAGACAAAAAACCAAATGAAATCGCCTCTACTGAGAATTTCCCCTTTCTCAAGACTGATCCAAAATAGAGCTAGAGCCGTACCCCAAAACCGAGACCCGGAACAAAGCAGAGAAGAGTCAATGCGTCAAGTGGAAGGTCTCCCACCAAGGAAAAGGAATGTACCAGCGAAACTAAAGGAAGGGTCGGGTTTTCACGCCCCGGCAAATCCTCTTCCTTAGTCCTACTGAGCTGGAACTGATGTGGACTGGGGAACCCACAGACAGTTCATAGATTGAAGGAGCTCCAACAAAAACATGCACCGGACATCATCTTTCTCATGGAGACGAAGAATAATGAGGAGTACATTACAAAGCATATCTCTCTGGTGGATTATGGTACACGTTTCCTGGTTCCCCCACACAGTCCCGGAGGTGGAGGTCTAGCCCTCTACTGGAAAACTGAAGTCAACCTCACGATCCAAGCATCTTGTGACAATTACATAGAGGTCGCCATATCCTACAAGGGAAAAACCTTTAAAACAACGTTCGTGTATGGAGAGCCCGACCACTCGAAGAGAAGGAAAATATGGGAAGCAATAACAGAGAATCATATTGACAAAGAAGTACCTTGGTTCTTGACGGGTGATTTCAACGATATCCTTGACCACGATGAGAAATCAGGAGGACCCGAGCGACCAGAAGGAACATTCGGAGACTTCAGGACTTTCTTCTCCCAGGGAGATCTGTACGATCTACCCCACTCCGGCAACCCACTCTCTTGGAGAGGAGTGAGATACTCCCACCTAGTGCACTGCCGCCTCGATAGAGCTATCTCGAACGGACTCTGGGCTGAAGCTTTCCCACGGAGTAGAAGCTACTATTTGGAGTTTGAGGGATCCGACCACAGGCCCCTGCTATCTATACTCGAAACAAACCTGAAAAGAAAGAGAGGGATCTTTAGGTATGATAGAAGCCTGATAGACAACGAGGAAGTCATAAAACTGGTCAAGGAAGCATGGAACTCATCTGTGACTTCGTCGGTGGAACACAAAATCACCAACTGTAGAAGAGCTATCTCAAAGTGGAACAAGGAGCACCACATCAACTCTCAGAAGATCATAAATGAGGAAAAAAGGAAACTGGAATTAGCCATGAGCTCGTCTAGTATAGACCAAGGAGAAATCCTAACAATAAACCATAATCTAAGCTCAGCTTACCAAAAAGAAGAGGAATAGTGGAGGCAGCGAAGCAGATCCTTATGGCTGGCACTCGGAGATAAAAATTCCGGCTACTTTCATGCTGTAACAAGAGGAAAACTGGCAGTTAATCGTTTTGCAGTACTTGAAGATAATGATGGTGTAGCAGTTTATGAGGAAGAAAATATTATCAATGTAATAAGCTCTTATTACCAGGACCTCTTTGTCTCTCGATCTTCTAACTGCACAGAAACAATCCACCAGTCTATACAACCATGCATCTCAGAAGGAATGAATGCCAATCTGACTGCAGAACCCACGCGTGAAGAAATCAGAGAAGCACTCTTCTCCATCCACCCTGATAAAGCCCCAGGCCCCGATGGCTTCTCTGCAGGGTTTTTCCAATCCCATTGGTCAGTCATTGGCCCAAAAATAGTGGAAGAAATAAAAGACATCCTAAGGAGAGGACAGATCCCACACTCTATCAATGACACGCATGTAAGACTCATCCCCAAAGTCCCAAACCCCAAGACAGTAGCGGAGTACAGACCCATAGCGTTGTGTAATGTCTACTACAAGATTATCTCCAAAATCTTAACTAGAAGACTACAACCCATCCTCCCTACAATCATCTCAGAGAATCAAACAGCTTTCGTACCTGATAGAGCCATCTCTGACAATATTCTCATCACCCATGAAACACTACACTTCCTCAAAAACTCAGGAGCCACGAAGCATTGCGCCATGGCTGTCAAAACCGACATGAGCAAAGCTTACGAGAGGCTGGAATGGGGATTTATAGTAATAGTGATGGAGAGAATGTGTTTTCATGCCAAATGGATCAACTGGGTGATGCAATGCATTTTCACGGTCTCATATGCTTACCTGGTTAATGGTGCAGCACAAGGAAAAGTAACTCCTCATAGAGGTATCAGACAAGGCGACCCGTTGTCACCATTCATCTTCATACTCTGTGGAGAAGTCCTATCGGGCCTCTGTAAAAACGCAAAAAGCAATGGATCACTACCAGGCATAAGCGTATCCCGAGGTAGCCCTAAGATAAACCACTTACTCTTTGCAGACGATACAATGTTCTTTAGCAAGACAAACCAGAAGAGTTGTGAGACACTTAACGCCATCCTGCGAAAATACGAAGAAGCATCGGGTCAACAAATCAATCTCCTCAAGTCTTCAATCACCTTCTCAAAGAAAACACCACCAGAGATTAAAACAAGGGTCAAGAACTCACTCGGGATAAACAAGGAAGGAGGCCAGGGCAAGTATTTGGGACTTCCGGAGAGTTTTGATCGTCGAAAGAAAGACCTCTTTACCTTGATAGTCGACCGCATAAAACAACGTTCGATAAGCTATTCCTCGAGACACTTGTCAAGTGCAGGCAAGCTAACCATGATCAAATTCGTACTATCCTCCATCCCCAGCTACACAATGTCCTGCTTCAAGCTACCCACAGGCCTGTGTAAGAGAATCCAGTCAGCTATTACGCGATTCTGGTGGGACTCAAAACCAGGGAAGAAGAAATTATGTTGGTTAGCGTGGAGTAAACTAACCAGAGCAAAGAAGAATGGAGGCTTGGGCTTCCGAGAGATCCAGAGCTTCAATGATGCACTCCTGGCAAAGATCAGCTGGAGAATCTTAAACAACCCAACCTGCCTCCTCAGCCAAGTCCTTAAAGGGAAGTACTGTAAGGATCACACCTTCATAAACGTGCAAATCAAGTCCTCAACCTCTCATGGATGGCGTGGAATCCTGATAGGCAGAGACTTGATCAAACACAAACTCGGACGAGCCATTGGAAATGGACAGACCACCTCCCTCTGGAACGATCCATGGCTCTCGATCAAACACCCAACCTACCCCATCGGACCAACCCGCAAAGAAGACCTGGAAATGACAGTGTCAAATCTCTTAACAGGACATCTCAACGAATGGAACATCACAAAGATCATGGAAACCTTACCATTCCATATGGCGGAAATACGAGCCTTAAGACCAAGCAGCAAAGGTGCCACAGACACCTACATCTGGCTCCCAACTAAGACAGGCGACTACTCGGTGAAAACGGGGTATCATGTAGCCATGGAGGTGAATGAGAACCTCGACCTATACCAAAACCACCAGGGCATAAGCTGGATGACAGAGATCTGGAACGCAAGAATATCACCAAAAATGAAGGTTTTTCTATGGAAGATAGTACAAGAAGTTTTACCTGTGGGAGACAACCTCCTTAACTGTGGAATCCTCGATAACGCTTGTTGTGTTCACTGTGGAGACTTAGAAACAACAGAGCACCTCTTCTTTCACTGTGGTTTCGCAAAAGAAGTCTGGAATCAAGCTCCTTTCACAAAACCCATCAACCCTCTCCAAATCGATAATTTCACCACCACGCTCACTGATTCGAAGACATGGATTTGCCTTCCACCGACGGGAATCACAGCTGGACCACTCTTCTCTTGGATCTGCTGGGCAATTTGGAAAGCCAGAAACCACCTCCTCTTCGAGCAAAGAAAATTCTCCTCTGCAGAAACAATGAGTAAAGCAGTCTCAGAAGCTAGAGATTGGCAACAAGCTCAGCGAAAAACCCATCTGCTGAAACCCAGATCAAAAACCCCAAGCCCAAATCAAACCAACCCCAATACAATTACCTGCTTTACAGATGGAGCCTGGAGCAAAGAACACGAAATCGGAGGCCTGGGATGGATCTTCATCGACGCTGATGGAACGACACGGAACCACGGACATGCAGCTGAACGCTTTGTCTCCTCTCCGATCATGACGGAAGCTCTAGCCATCCGATCCGCCCTCAATCAAGCGCTTGAAAGCGAAATCACCCACATCCACATCAAGACAGACGCTCAGGAATTCGTCCGAGCTATCAACATGCAAGAGCAAATCGCAGAGATCTTCGGAATTCTGTTCGATATTCAAACTCTCGTCTCAATGTTTCTTTCTATCTCTTTCAGCTACATTCCCCGATCTGAAAACGCTATGGCGGATTCGATCGCAAAGAATGCCAAAAGTCGACTTGTGACTTTAGTATCAAACCAAACTCTCATGTGTAACCCGGTTTAGAAGCTCAATTAATTAAAATGCTGTTCAAAAAAAAAAATATCAACCTTTTCAACATAAACTAATAAGAGCATACACACAACATTTGAAGAAATTAAAGGCAAAAAAATATAAAATTGAAGAAACGATAGATTTATGAATATTGAGAAATGAGAATAAGAAAAAATTCTAATAGTTCTTAAATTTATTTATTTTTGAAAAAAAAATAACGCCAAAAAGGTAAGGAAGAAAAGAACGAGTCGTGGAGGTACTCTCGTGAAAGTAAGTGAATGGTCCTAATGGCACCCGATTACGTCGGTTCCACAATCCCTTCCTATATAAATGCACTTGCCTCTCCTCCTCATTCTCTCAGTCTTATCAATAATAATTAGTGACATTCAAATAATAATCAAACACACATTACTTACTTTTCAATCCATTTCTCTCACTCTTCTTCTTGTTTCATCGACTATGGGAAAGGATGCGTTCGGATTGGCCGCAAAAGACAATTCTGGAGGTCTCTCGCCTTTCCCTTTCTCTAGAAGGTTTCAAATTATTTTGAATATTTTAAAAGAATTCGTTTATATATCAACTCTTTCTCACATGATCTTATATTAAGTTTTGGTGGAATTAATTTGTAGGGAAACGGGAGAGAAAGATGTGAGGTTCAAAGTGTTGTTCTGTGGAATTTGTCACAGTGATTTGCATATGATCAAGAACGATTGGGGAGTGTCTACTTACCCTCTCGTCCCCGGGTAATACATGAATTAACAATAACCGATTATAACATGAGTTTAAAAAAAAAGAAGAAAAAATGATATGTTACCAAAAATAAATTATGATTATTTTCAAAATATCATCATTTGAGGATATTCAAAAACTCAAATAAATTAACAAAAAGACTTTTGAGTTTTTGTTTTCAGGCATGAGATTGTTGGCGTGGTGACTGAAGTCGGGACCAAAGTGACTAAATTCAAAACAGGAGAAAAAGTCGGAGTCGGGTGCCTGGTTGGCTCGTGCCGGTCATGTGACAGTTGTAACGAAGGTCTCGAGAACTACTGTTCAAAATCGATCCAAACGTACGGTTTCAAGTACTACGACGACACAATAACCTACGGAGGTTACTCGGACAGCATGGTTTGCGACGAAGATTTCGTCATCCGTATGCCCGAGAATCTCCCATTGGACGCAGCCGCGCCGCTATTATGCGCAGGGATCACGGTCTACTCACCGATGAAGTACCACGGGCTCGACAAGCCGGGCATGCACATTGGTGTGGTGGGACTAGGCGGGTTAGGTCACGTGGCAGTGAAGTTTGCTAAAGCTATGGGTACTAAGGTTACGGTTATTAGTACTTCGGAGAGTAAGAGAGACGAAGCGATTAACAAGCTTGGTGCTGATGCGTTCTTGGTGAGCCGTGAACCAAAACAGATTAAGGATGCGTTGGGAACTATGGATGGTATAATTAACACTGTATCCGCTGCTCATTCGCTTGTTCCGTTACTCGGCATGCTGAAGAAAAAGGGAAAACTTGTTATGGTTGGTGCACCGGAGAAACCACTCGAGCTTCCTGTCATGCCTCTCATCTTCGGTAAGTCTATTTAACCAAATCTCAACAAATCAGAATACCTTCTTGTTCTAAGTTTGTAGTGTCTAGTGACAAAGTAAAGAAATGATGTTGACAATATGTTTGTTATTGTGGTTTGTTTGTTTGTTTGTATTGTGTGTATATAGAGAGGAAGATGGTAATGGGAAGTATGATAGGAGGGATAAAAGAGACTCAGGCGATGATAGATATGGCTGCAAAACACAACATCACCGCGGATATTGAGCTGATTTCTGCGGATTATGTCAACACCGCCATGGAAAGGCTTGCCAAGGCCGACGTTAGGTACCGTTTTGTGATTGATGTTGCCAACACATTGAAGCCTTCTCCTTAATTAGAAAAAGCTTGAGAGCTGAATATTCCACACAAGTTTTATTTTTCTCTCTTGTTGGCCTGTTGGGTTTGTTGTAATAAATGTGTGTTGTTTCTTGGGGAGGTTGGGTGTGAGAGTGGTGGCTATATGGTATGCTTACATCAAATTCGTACAATTAAACGTTATATGTTCTCTATATGATATTCTCTCCATTTTAAATCAAGTATTTCACATATTTATAGATCAACTTTTTTAGTTGAAAAATACAAAACGATTAGGTGATTTATCAACCTGAATTAAACTATAGTGCTAATGTGCGACAATTAGTCTTCATATTGGATGGAGGAGCAATATATGTGAAAAGTCAATGACGACAATAAATGAAGCGTACGACTTGTAGTGTAGTGTTGCTTCCAACAAGAGAGGAGACAGTGAAGTTCGAGTTTGTTCCCAATGCGAAGCACTCCACTCCTTGATATGGCTTCTCTTTCTTTACCTCGTACCTTTTACCACACTTCTCACTCTCTTCCCTAGATCGATCTTATCTTGTCTTGTCTGTATATTGTTAATTAATGAATGTTATTCGTCTTTAAATGAATGCTATTCAGCAAAGATCATCCAATACTCATCTTTTTTTTTTTTGAACAGAAACATATTCATTAGCATTAAACGTTTCCAGCTACAAAGACAAGTGGGTCCCTCTGCGAAATTAAAGCCACAAGTCGACTTTTTGCATCTTTGGCTAAGGAATCGGCCAAAGAATTTTCTGATCGGGAAATGAAACTGAATGAAATCGAAGTGAACATAGATGCGAGAGCGTTAATGTCAAAGAGAATTCCATAAATCTCTGAGATCTGCTCTTGCGATGAGATAGCTCGAATGAGTACTTGAGCGTCAGATTTGAGATGGATGCATGCAATTCCAATCTCCAGTGCGTGGTTAAGGGCCGATCTAATCGCCAGGGCTTCGGCCATTAGGGGTGATGAGACGAAGCGCTCCGCTTCCTGTCCTTGATCCAGGCGTTCTCCGGTGGCCCTTGTGAAGATCCAGCCTAGACCTCCGATACGATGTTCCTCTGTCCAGGATCCATCGGTGAAACAATCAATTGTGTTTGGGGGGTCCCTGGTCCGGCTATTGGGTATGTATATCTTCTTTATCACGTTGATTCCCAATTGGGCTAGTTGCCATTCCTTTGCTTCTACTGTTGCTTTAATCATCGTTTCTGCAGGTGTAAAGGTTCTTTCCTCGAAGATTAGTTGATTCCTCGTTTTCCACAAGGCCCAAACAATCCAGGGGAAGAGGGTTCCTGAGCCTACTCCGGTTGGTGGGAGACAGATCCAAGTTTTAGCGATTGGTAAGGTGCTCGTGAAGGATTGGATAAGGAGGGGATCGATGCTGATTGAGAAAGGGGCTAACTTCCAAACTTCCTGCGCAAAGCTACAGTGGAAGAACAAATGCTCAGTTGTCTCCAGGTCTCCACAGTGGACACAGCAGGGATTTTCCATGATTCCTCGGTTGAGAAGGTTTTCACCAAGAGGTAAAGCTTCTTGTACAATTTTCCATAAGAACACCTTCATTTTTGGTGAAGCCTTTATTTGCCAAATGTCCGCATTCCAATTCACTTTTGGTTGTGGCTGTTGCAGGTTCTGAGTCTCCTTTAGTTCCATAGCTAGATGGTATCCTGATTTGACCGAGTACTCCCTTGACTTTGTTGGGAGCCAGATGAAGCTATCCGACGCTCCATTTCTACTTGGCCGCAGGGCTTGGATCTCCTCCAGATGGAAAGGTAAGATTTCAGAAATCTTCTCCCTGTTCCATTCCCTCGAATGGTCTAGTAATATATCTGATACAAGTAGGTCTTTGTCAGATGATCTAGGGGGTCCCGTTGGTCGTAGTGGTGTTGACAGGGAGAGCCATGGATCATTCCAGAGGGATGTGGTTTGTCCATCCCCAATCGCTCTGCCTAGTTGGTGTACTAGGAGGTCTCGTCCAATTAGGATCCCACGCCATCCGTGAGAGGTCGAGGTTTTAATGGGGACATGGAGGAAGTCTTGGAACTTGCAGTATTTGCCGATGAGGATTTTACTGAGAAGGCAGGAAGGATTTTGGAATATTCGCCAGCTTATCTTCGCTAAGAGGGAATCGTTGAAGCTTTGGATTTCTCTAAATCCTAGTCCTCCCTGTTCTTTCGCTCTGGTAAGTTTCCTCCATGAAACTCAACACATTTTCTTCTTATCCGGTTTTGAGTCCCACCAGAAACGTGTTAGAGCTGATTGGATTCTCTTGCAAAGACTGATAGGGAGTTTGAAACAGGACATGGCATAGGTTGGGATTGCCGAGAGGACTGATTTCAACATTGTCAACTTTCCTGCACTAGACAGAAATCTTGAGGAGTATTTGATCGATCGTTGGCGGATGCGATCAACTATTAATGTAAAGACATCTTTCTTCCGGCGTCCAAAGCTCTCTGGTAATCCGAGGTATTTTTCTTGACCTCCCTCCTTTTCAATTCCAAGCGTGCTTTTGACTATCATCCAATACTCATCATTGATCAAAATTTCTTCAATTAGCATCATGAAGTACCAAAACATCAATGTGCCTTTTTTGTTATGTATAAAATTTATAGTTGCAAACTGTAACCATTTTGTTAGAGATTATTCGGAGAACTATAAGAGCTTCACGATCATATGTATACACTAGGTTTATACATGTTTGTGTTGTATTAAAAAAATAATAATTAAATTACATACCATACCCATGATAACCATGCATGTCATGTACACTCTTATATATACATATGAAGACTCATGGAAATCACAAGAGCCAATCTCTCTCTCCTCTTCCCCCCCCCCCCTTAATGCATCATCTCTCCCTTCACATTTCATGATGACGTCATCCCATCAGAGCCCCACCACGAGCTCCAAACCACGGAGGACCAAGACGACGGCGAAGCCACCACATCAGACCAACCACAAAGAACCGGCGACGCAGCCGGTGCTTAAGTGTCCGAGATGTGATTCTGTCAACACCAAATTCTGCTACTACAACAACTACAGCTTGTCTCAGCCACGTCACTACTGCAAAAACTGCCGCCGTTACTGGACGCGTGGCGGCGCCCTCCGTAACGTCCCCATCGGTGGCACCACCCGAAACAAGAACAAGCCTTGCAACCTCCACGTCATCTCCTCTCCTAATGTGACGCCATCGTCTCACGAGCTTGTTGATGGGTTTCGTATACTAAACCCTCCTCCTTCGACGGCGATGATGATGAGTTCTGGTGGATTCTCCGGCTACATGTTTCCGTTGGATCCCAACTATAATCTTGCATCTTCTTCGTCCATTGAGTATTTGAGTTCTTTAAACCAAGATTTGCACCAGAAGCTTCAGCAACAGAGACTTATCTCCTCCATGTTTCTCCAAGATTCTCTTCCGGTCACAGAGAAACCGGTTATGTTTCAGAGTGTAGAGTCGATTCCTCCTTCGACGGCGACGACTAATTGGGTTTTCGATAGATCCGCCATGGAAGGAGGAGCAACAAGTGGCATTGATGAAAATAATGGTGATGGTAATTTGGGGATTTGGTACCATAATGGTAATAATGCTCTACCCTAATTACATTATCAATGTTATTTCCATTATTAGTCTCTGTCATATTGTAGGCTAGTATACACACAAGCTAGCTATGAATGAAAAAAACAAAAAACAAAAACAAAAAAAAAAATCCCTTTGATTGTAATTTTTAAATATGAATAAGTTACTTGATTTCCAAGAAAAATAAAATAAAAACTTTTAGATTTAATCATTTTGAGAAAATGATTATCATGTTACCATGTAACTCTCTTGTGTATACATGACAGCATATATCTCTATATTATATTTTAATATTTTATAAACATATAATGAGACGAAGAAGCAAGAGGAACGTGAAGTAGAAGAGGACAAGTTCAGCTTTAAGCAGAGACATGCGAGAAACTCATGAACTCTCTTCTGTATGTGAGAGACGATATCATGTCATACATACATGCAATACATTACATGCATACATCATTTTTCAACGCCTTTAATTAACTTCTACAGCACTTGATCCCGGAATCTTTGAGATACCTTTAACCTTCATCAACTTCCTAATCTTAGCAACATCATCCCATCTTCTATTAGCAGCAAAAATATTAGACATCAACACATAAACACCACTATCTTCAAACTCCATCTCTAAGAAACTATCTAATATCTCTCTAGGAAGCTCCATTAACGTCCCTTTACTCTTACAAGCACTGAGAATAGCTCCACATATAAGCACATCCGGTTTAACCGGCATCGTTTTAACAAGGTCCAACGCTTCATCTAACAATCCAGCTCTACAAAGCAAATCAACTAAACATCCATAATGCTCTATCTTTGGAGATAGATTATACTCTCTGTTCTTCATCTTGAGGAAATATCTTCTCCCTTCATCGACTAAACCCGTGTGGCAACAAGCGTTTAAAACCGCAAGAAACGTTACCTCGTTCGGCTTAAACCCAAGCTTAACCATTTCTTCAAAACATCTGAGTGATTCATGTCCATGTCCATGGATAGCTAAACCACCTAACAGAGCATTCCAAGTATACACATTCTTACTTCTGATTCCGTTGAAGATCTCCAAAGCTGTTTCGATGTAGCCACATTTCGCATACATATCGACAACCGCGGTTCCAATATGCGTATCCCATTCTATTCCAGAGCTTACAACATACTCATGGACCCATCTTCCATAATCCACAGCTCCTAAGTTAGCACAAGCAGAGAGCACACTCGTAAGTATATGCCCATCTGGCTTTACACTCGAAGACGATTGCATCAGAGAAAACAATTCGATCGCCTCGTTAGACCTTTTACACTGAACCAACCCACTAATCATACTATTCCAAGAAACTTTATCTTTCTTCTGCAACTCATCAAAGATCCTCTTCGCATCGCACAGCTGCTCACATTTCACGTACATATCTATAAGAGCGTTACCACTCTCTAAGCTGAACAAAGCTGCCTTTTTCAACATCAATCCATGGAGTCCTCTCCCTAAACTTAAACACCCTACACGCCCACTCGCGACCAACGCACAAACATACGTAGCTAAATTCGCCTCAACGTCCATCTTCGAAAACATACCCAAAGCTTCCTTGTACAATCCAATCCTGGAGAAGCCAGATATAATGCCAGTCCAAGAAATAACATCTCTCACAGGCATTTGATCGAACACTTTGCATGCACTCTTCGAATCTCCGCACACGCCGTAGAAATGAACAAGCGAGTTTTGCACGTACATGTCATCGGAGAAACCCATCCTCGTGACAGTGCTATGATACTGTTTCCCTTCTCCGATCCCTGAAAACTTCCCACAAGCCTTGAAAACCGGAGGAAACGTAAACATGTCCGGCGAAAACCCGTTTCTCACAAATGCTCGGTAAACGAGAATCGTCGCTCTTGGTTTATCGCAGACTGCGTAGCTTGATAAGAGCGTGTTGTATGGAAACGAGCTCAACGCAGGACGGGTTTTGTGGAGAATTAGACAACTGTAGGATGCGAAATCGGCGGATTTTCCCAGAAAGGCCACGACTTTGTTGACGAAAATGTCATCACGAAGAAGATCACGAGAAATCAAATGAGTCTGTATCTGTTTGAATACCCGAAGAGAGCTGCATAGGCTGGTCCATTCCAGAAGAACTGATTTCTCCGGAAAATGCATAACAATTACTTTTTTTTAGTCGCAAATAGCGATCAAACTATCACATTTGACTTCTCTGTTAATCTGCATTTGTAACACGAGATTAATCCAACAGAACGAACACGAAAGAGTCAAATTTGCAGAAAAGAGTCAAATTTGCAGATTTGTAGACGAAGAAGAAGAGAAGATAGAAAGTTGAGAAACAGAATTAAAGGATGGTCCTTTTATTGGGCCTGGACATTTTAACATAATGGGCCTTTCTATAGAATATGGAGGCCCGTAACCTTCCAGTCAAACGTCATCTTCTCCGGTCTTCTCCGTCCTTGGCTTCACCGGAGAAGAAGATAAATCGGTTTAGTTTTTCTGAAGGCAATGCATTGCGGATGTGCTTTCGTTCCACCGGTTGTATCTCCACGTCTGCCGTTTGAAACTAAAATCTCCGTTTCGAAGCTTCGAGCTTCATCACGTCAATTACCCAAAACCCAGATTCGGATAAACCCTTCCGATGATCTCACCATCGACGGTCCAGAAAAATCTCCGGAGACTAGGATTGCATTGCCGTCTCACGTGAATTCCATCACCAGCACTTCAAACCCTTTTGTCAAACACTGCTTGAAGCTCCGCCAAAGCTCCTCCTATCGCCACACTCATGGCTCTGTTCTCGTCGTCGGAGCAATCCCAATAAGGTAAATTTATCGTCTTTGATTTGATTTCTTATGAAATTGAGTGTCAAGGAGATAACTTTACAAGGACATTTTTGTTTTCGTAGAGAAGTATGTATGTTCCAAGCGAATAAGCAAAGAATCACCACTGAGATTGAGTGTCTTCTTCTTCACGAGGAAGCTCAGATTCCACAAGGATTAGAGAGTCTAAGCACACGCATTGTTCGAGTCACTTCTTTAGTGATGAAGAAACTCTCTGGAGTCCAATCTACTGAATCCGTTGAAGCCATTGCCTTGATGAGAATCCCTCACAGCTTCACTGATCTTAAAGATGATGATGATGAAGACACCGTCACAACAGATTGCAAGAAATGGTTCCCTTCTGCTCACCGAGTTCTTGTTCTTGACAGCATACAGGATCCAGGCAACCTCGGGACGTTAATCAGATCAGCTATGGCTTTTAATTGGGTATGTAAATTGATCAGCTTTTCTTCTCAATTCAATACCAATCAAATCTCTAATGAGAATCGTTATGATGTGGCTAATGTGTTTGGATAGGATGGTGCGTTTCTGCTTCCGGGATGTTGCGATCCGTTCAACGAGAAAGCTCTTAGAGCAAGCCGAGGTGCTTCGTTTCAACTCCCTATAGTCTCTGGAAACTGGAGCCACCTTAAGCTTCTAGAGAATGAGCTCCAAATGAAGCTATTAGCTGGTCATCCAGCAACTACTAAACCTGTCTCCTCAAAACTCTCCTTAGCGTTTGCTCAGTCTTTAGCAGAGAAGCCTTTATGCTTGATCTTAGGCAGCGAAGGTCTCGGTTTGTCCGAACAGTCGAGGAAAGTTTGCGAGCTCGTGAGCATTCCCATGGCTGGTGAGTTTGAATCTCTTAACGTCTCTGTTGCTGGTGGCATTTTCTTGTTCATGCTTCAATCTTGTTCCGGTTCTTAAAAATCAGAATATAAACTTGAACACTTATAAATAAACTCAATTTCATTAAAAATAAAAAGTTAAAACATGGACCAAAATCAGTAAAATCTCAAAAGCGCTGATCTATACAACTAAAAAAGCTCCTAACAAAAGTGTAAAAAACAGAAAGAAGAAAAAGCCAAATATTAACTACTTCAGGAACTTAATCTCTTGAAGGCTCTTCGAGGCGAATGTAATCATACATAACACCTTCGAACGGTCCCGTAGCTTTAGTCTGTCGGAGATAGATCGTGTTGGTGCCGATTCTTAGCAATCTTCCAGGGACATTGATGCTGTAAAGCCGGTAAGCTCCATGGATTCCATGTCTTGCTATGGCATTATCTTTTCCGATGTTGCCCGTTGAGAAGACCGGCCTCGAGTTCTCGTAGTTGATCCGTACTTGTAGATTAGCCCGTGAAGCCGAAGCTAAAGCTAGCTGCAATGTGTAGCTGCTTCCTCGCCAGTTCACGTATGGAAGATTAAACACGATCTGCCATGTCGTTGGCGCGTAGGTCGAACCATCGATGTTCCTTGTGACGTGAGCGTAGAACCAGTCTTGGTTGTAGTTACTAGCACCAACTGTGTAGACGAGATCTTGATTTGGGTATAACTCTGTGTATCGTTGCCACAATCCGTATTGCCTAAACCTGCGAAACAACCAAACCGGAATTATTAGAACCTATGCCGGTTTTGGGGACAGTGTTAATCGTAATCATGAGGATTTATTTGAATTTTGAGACTTACGTGTCGGTGTGGTTTAGGTATAAGGGGTTAAGTGTGTTCTTGTATGGCTCCGGCACAAAGTATTCTTTAGCGGTTCGATCCGGTACACCGATCTCCCACAGAGTTGGACCGTTCCTAGGAGGCTCGAACACGACTCTACCGAAACTTTTCTCTGAACCCGAAGCTACGTTGACACGGCTTTGGTACTTAAAGTCTCCGATGAAGCCAGGAACCCATCCGTACAGATTGTAAGTTCCCGGTCTAACGTTATCAATCGTGAAGTAACCGGTTTCGTCCGTCTTTGTCCAAAATTGGTATCCCTAAAGAAAGGAAAAATTCAACGATCAGTAACATGTAATTAATTTGATTATTTCTTAATCACATTTAAAGAAGAGACATAATCAAAGTGTAGTAACAAACCTTAGTGTTTGTCTGCCATGAACCAGCTTCTCCCAGCGGTGCTAAACCAACGTATGCCGATCGTGCAGGAGTCAAGGATCTGAAAACGGTTCCCAAAATATATAATATAAGATTAATAAAAAGTCAAAAAGTAAATAATTTTATTTTGGAATTTTGTATGCAAATATACCTGTCGTTGACTAAGAGTCGACCGGTAACGGTTCCTCTTTCTTGACGAGAAAGAAAGTCAGGGGATGCTACAAAACCGTACGGCCATGCTTCAACTTCTTGTTCGGTCTGATGATCAATAATAACATAAGTAAATTAAAGTCTCTTCTTTATAAATTAATAATCAAAAAAGAATCTGAAGAAAACTAACTAACCTGTCGTTTAGCATCTTCCCATAATGAACCGCGAGGGTTATTGCCGGTGGAGTCAGAGTTCAAGTAAATAAAAACAGGTCCCAAGACCTTCTTCCACGCTTCACCAGCTCTGTACCTTGTCTCCATGTCCGTACCAATGTAATGCTCGCTTATAAAGGTCTGCATTATCAAATCAATTTATTATAATTAAGATAACTTGTTCCTTTTTTAAACTAAATATTTGGGCTAACTAGTTTTGGAACATCTCTTACCGTGAGGGTCGTTGGACCAACGTGAGACGTGAGATCCTGTTTGGTCGGTCCACCACATCGGTATTCGCCGCTCGGTGAGATGAGCCAGAAACCGACACGGGACTTGGTCGAGATCCAACCATGAACGTTGTTTTCCTTGACCTCACATGTGTACTGGTACTTATCATCCACCTAATATCAATTCAGTTAAATCAATCAAAATTCAAGACTTCACCGAATATATATTTTAAATTTACTTTGTAGATAACGATTTATTACCTGGTTTTTGAACATAGGGTTATGAGGATGAGTCAATTGTACGGCTTCTTTATAAGCAAGAATCTTGGCATGGCCACGGTCATCATCCGTAGGCATTTCTCTTTGCCGATCATCCGCCACCACCATATAATGAAATCTACAAAATATAGTTTCAATTTTTGTTAGTCAAAAACATAACAAAAAAATCTCATCGGATTTTTGATCAAGTATAGTGAGATCAAATGAAATATACGTACCTATCAGGGTTGAGTTTGAATGCGATTCGGATTAGACCCATCTCGACTTCTGGCCATTCGGGCAGTCTCTCGAAGATTCCGTATGTGTAGATTCCTGAGGTATCTGCACGTATGATATACCTCTTGTCTACGTTTAACGGAGCATGATTAGAACCACCATTCCATGTTCTAGAGAATGAAATCTCCACTTGTTCTTCGTTTTGAGTTATGATTCTAAACTTGGTTCCTTCGATTCTGAACAAAGAAAAAATAAGTATTTAACTATTAGCCATAAGCACCAAAAAGACTAGTATTTAATTAGCAATATTCAGACAAAGGTATTAAATTATAAGTAGTTTATTAATTACCGATCTAAGCCCGGGCGAACGTTTTCTTCTCTTTGCCATGTTACGTCCCAGTAACCTCGAGCTCGGAGATGCGGATTGAGAACATTATCGATTCCTTTGTATTTGATCCCAGTTATAAGTCCTTGAGGATTCGAGAAACTGACTCTGATCATCCCATTGTCCACTATCACCTGCAAAGAAACATAAATTTTAAACGATTATTGTTAGCATGTATATTTTGCAGTAGTTGACTAAAACGTGTTGTATATATATAATATCTATATATCTACCTCTTTAGTTCCATGCTTGTTACTTATCTGCTGCACTGTTGGAGCTCTTGCACTTGTTCCACCTAAGTTCCTGTCGAATTTTAGTAATAAGAAACAAAGTCAATACTTTAATTTGAAAACGCTTAATGTACATACATACAATTAATGAAGTCAAGTATAACGCAAAGAGAGAGATCAGGGTTTGTTTTTAATGTTTGACACAAAAGAAAGTAAAAACCGTAGCTAAGCTTTTCAACAAGACTCTAAGGAGTTAATACACACGTACGAGTAACAAAAATAAAACAACCGAAACGAAATATGTATGAGTTTGAGAAACATGTGAACTTTGTGCACATACATGGATGTATATGTTTGACTGTAAAACATAACATGAAAAGGAAAGTTAAACTGACCTTGTCGGCTCAGAAAACGCGATGGGAAGAAGCAAAAGCAGAAAGAAATAGATCATTGATGAGGAAGCTATTCTCTTATGCGAAGTCATCTTCATCTTCAAAATCTCCAGATCGAATTTAATGTAAGAGTAAGATCTTTGGTGCATCCATATTTATATGCGTATGTGGTTTAATTTGTTAAACAAAGTCCTAGACTCAACGGGAATAGGTGCACCAAAACCTAACTAGGAATTGCTTTGACTTCTGACATTAGACGTCTAATAGGACTCAGTTTCATAGGAGAATACGGAAACGATTTCTTGATTATCCTTCTTTATATATATATATATATTTTTTTTTAATTGATATTGTAAAGAAAACGGAGGTATATCTGTTTAAGTTTTTGCAATAATAATGAAAAATTTCGTGATGAAATTATTCATCTACTGAGGGTTTCTATGTCTTTGTAGTGACTTCACATGTTGTTAAATTTTCTGTTGCATACACAATGAATAAGTTGTAACGTTGGATTAATGACTGCATGGTTTAAATGTTGTGACAAAGCTATTTGGAAATATCTTTGATATTAATAACGTTTTCTATGTACGTATATTAAACAATTTCATGAATTTAATAATTTTCACTACATATAACTTTCTAAGATACAATTGGATACATATCAATAAAGTAATACATGTCTTTATCTACTAGTTAAAATATTAAACATTAATACACGTAATTAGCAAAACTAGAAATTGCTTTTAACCGATGGATAGCGAGATAGTTGGTCAGAATATATCATATTCCATTGTTTTACGTTTCTATTTCTTCTAGTCACGAAATTCCTAACACCGGTAGAATTAAACGATTTGCTTGACTTAAATTTAACACAAATACAAAAAGGATATGAAAAAAACTCTAAAAACTACAACTATTAACAGATTCCATTACAATTACAGTAAACTAACCACAAAGAGATACTCCCACAGTGGATAGGAGACAGGGCCTAATTAAAACAAAATACAAGACTAAATTTTACACCTAAGCTGTAACTCTAACTATTTACTCCAATCTTTGTCTCTTTTCTCTTCAATGTTAAAAGCACAAACATTTATTCTGCACTGTTTAAAATTTTGATCTATAAAATGAACATTTAAACCAAAAAGGATTACATCTAAATATTGTTACACCGTCACTATTCATAGACTCATAGCTCGTATTAAAGTTTTCTTCAGTAAGATAATGATAAAACACAATATTATAATATTCTTTCGAAAGTGAATTAATTAGCCAAAGTCCAAAGCCCATCTAAATAAGCTAAAAAAACATGTGATGTGAGCTTAGTAGACAGCTAAAAGAGGTAATGCAGAGAGATTCAAGTTCGCAAATCGATAGAGCCTTAGATCCGGCAAATGACGATCGTTAAACCGTCGCAGTTCTCATTCTCCGGCGGATCTTCGCCGCTATGTTCATTTAAAGGATCACTCCTAACCGTCGCCGTCCTCACTTTCGTTTCCCTCTTCTACCTCTCTCTCAATTCCCTCCGCACTTCGCCGCCGTCTCCGGTCGTCGTGGGGGCGATTCAGGTTCCTCAGACCTTTGTCAAGGAAGAGAATAGAGTCAATACCGACGGAGACGGCGCCGCACCGGCGGAGGAAGAGTATTACTCCGATGTTTATCACTCGCCGGAGTCGTTCCGGTTGAATTACGCCGAGATGGAGAGGCGATTCAAGGTTTACATTTACGCCGACGGAGATCCCAACACGTTTTACCAGACGCCGAGGAAAGTCACCGGTAAATACGCCAGCGAGGGTTACTTCTTCCAGAACATCAGAGAGAGTCGCTTCCGTACCCTAGATCCAGAGGAGGCCGATCTCTTCTTCATCCCAATCTCCTGCCACAAGATGCGAGGCAAAGTAAGAATCTCCCAAATTCGATTCACTGAAGTTTCAATTCGCTGAAATTAGGATTTAAATTAGCCAATTTTCTGGGAAAATTTGATGATTGATGATCGTTTTTTGGCAGGGAACATCGTACGAAAACATGACTGTGATTGTTCAAACTTACGTTGATGGATTGATTTCAAAGTACCCTTATTGGAATAGAACGTTAGGAGCAGATCACTTCTTCGTCACTTGCCACGACGTTGGTGTTAGAGCATTCGAAGGATCTCCGCTTCTGATTAAGAATACGATTAGGGTTGTTTGCTCACCGAGCTACAATGTCGGTTTCATCCCTCACAAAGACGTTGCTTTGCCCCAAGTTCTCCAGCCTTTTGCTCTCCCTGCCGGTGGAAACGACGTTGAAAACCGGTATAAACCCATCTCCTTGTCGCTTTACCATAAGTCCTCTCTTTAGATTTAGAATGTTGCATAATGTTGGCTCGTTACTTGATTTAGTAGTTGCATCCTTGTTTGTTACTGTGTTACAGGACGACGCTTGGCTTTTGGGCTGGTCACCGGAATTCGAAGATACGGGTGATACTTGCTCGTGTGTGGGAGAACGACACGGAGCTGGATATTTCGAACAACAGGATAAACAGAGCAACTGGGCATTTAGTGTATCAGAAGAGATTCTACAGGACGAAGTTCTGCATATGCCCTGGTGGTTCTCAAGTCAACAGTGCTCGCATCACTGACTCGATCCATTACGGATGTGTTCCTGGTAAAAAAATTGTTCTTTCTGCCCTCATTACCACCAAAAGAAACTAGACTTATGATGCATCTTGTGTTGTTTTGGACAGTGATATTGTCAGACTACTACGACCTACCTTTCAACGACATTTTGAATTGGAGAAAATTCGCGGTTGTGCTCAGAGAGCAAGATGTTTATAACCTCAAGCAGATACTCAAGAACATTCCACAATCAGAGTTTGTTTCGTTGCATAACAACTTGGTGAAGGTATGGAGAAATTCCTCAAAGTTTTAACCAATGTTTGTATACAAAGATCTGAAGCTGATTTGATCTTTGTTGTTGTTGTGCTGTGCAGGTGCAGAAGCATTTTCAATGGAACTCACCTCCGGTTAAATTCGACGCATTTCACATGATCATGTATGAATTATGGTTACGCCACCATGTCATCAAGTACTAATCAAAGACTCTTTTCTTTCCCTTTTTTGCCAACCCCGTAGATACGTTCCCAAGCAAACGAAAAAGAATTAGTATGTACACACCTCTTGTAAGTTTTTAATATCATAATAGCTTATATCAGTAACACGAAACAACAACATTACATTCTTTGAGGAAACAAATTCGTTATTCTTGTGTGTTGTGTACTCTGTTGCATCTTCTCACTAGAGTGGAGTACCAACTACGACGTCGTTTATGCGAACCTTTTCTTCCATATATTAAGAACATGTGGGTCTGTCTCTTTGTAAGCTACTGAAAAAATGAGACTTTAGGTTTTAAAACAACTACTAGCAACATCCGCAACGTAAAAGCTGAGCAACTCTTTTTGGCAATGAATAATCAGCTAGCATCTCAGGGTCCATCTCCATGTCTTGGGCTCGTGACCAGACATAGACTCCTCGCTCTTCCTTACTACAAGGTACAGTGTTGTCCAGTACGAAAGCCAGTAGAAATGTTACAACCATATTCAGAGACAGCAGAGCATTCATCGCATAATCAAGCTGCAAAAATTGCATTAAGAAAACAGAAAGAAGAGAGTCACTTGGTCATTGTCCACGAAAATGCTAATCATTCAAGGCAAGAGAAGGAAGGAAAAGTGGCTTACTTGTTCGATACCCGTGTGGAATGGTCCGCTTGACGCGGCTGCAAAAGGAATATAGTAGCTTGGGAGTATCAGCCTTGATATAGGTTGGTACTGCTGGAAATACGCAGGGATGGATAATCCAAAAAACAGTGAGACTCCGACTATAGTCATGTTCCTAAAGCTTGCTGTTTGTGTATACCGAAGATTCGACAAGCCTAAAGCCACTGTAAGTGCCCATATGAAGCATAATACTGAAGCAGCCAAAGCCTGTGGTATTGAAGCAAGAACCGCACCTAACTTTCCTGTGAGATTTAAGGAAGGGAAAAGTATACAAAATGGAGTAAAGGATATGATAAAGATTCACACTTTGGATCATTCAGTGGATGATTGCTTACCAACAAATGAGAAAACTATCAAGAACATAGCTCCGATCGCCAAAGCTCTTCGACTAGCCACCTTGGTGATGTTGATTGTATGAATGTTTTCTGTTAAAGTGGTTGATCCGGTACCGGAACCCCAGATTCCAGCCAATAGACTGCAAAAGCCTTCTAACGCAACACCTCTACTGACAATTCCTCGTGTGGGACGCTTAGCATTCACTAACATAGATGCAGAATGATATGTTCCAACCTTCAACAAGAATGTACCAACTCCAAACATTTTAGCAGCAAGATCACATTCCTTTAGGTAGGGGGAAAAGTAAACAAACAGGAAGAAAATGAATACATACCGAATCGACTGATGCGACCAAAGAGACAAAGATCATAATGATACAAGTTCTCATGTGAAAACTCGGAAACCCCCATTGAAACGGATAAGGGATTCTGAGCCAAGGAGCAGTATCCCAAGCGTTTGAAGCATCTGTTCTGCAATGCTTCATAGTATACGCATGCTTCTTGCATTCATCAATCAATATGTTAGAGCTTGGTATGTCGTCGTTACAACCTTTGTAGTCATATGCCCCACCAACAGTTAAACAGAATGCAACTGCCCATATGATCACAGCACTCAATGGCACCTAATACCAACAAAAAAAAAGTACACTTTCATTCCTCAAGACAAACAAAAAAAAAGATTGAAACTTTACGCTTCACTTGTACTTACCGCGTAGATTCGGAATAAGCAATGGCCAAAGAGTGAAACTCCACGAAGGTACTGAAAGTAGACTTATCAGAGAGATGTAAAATATGTTTTACATTTTAGTAAGCTGAGGTAAATTCTTCTTACCAATGTGAAAATGAGAAGCAAAAGTATTAAAGGAATGCTGATCTCAACACAAGTCCCAGCTTGAGGGAATCCATAGCTGAAGAATGCTAATCCTACCGCAGCTACCGTTGGGGCTACTACGACAGGATTGATAAATCTGAAAAACAGAGTTTCAAGAAGAGAGATCATTCAAAAGGAAAAATCAAGGAACCATAGTTTCCAGGATTATTACCTAAGAAGAAGAGACATGAGACCAGTGATTCCCAATATGCACTGGAATAACGAACCGGCGATAATAGCTCCCTGTAGCTCTCTCATTATGTCTCGAAATTTCTGCGTGGAATCGGAAACACACAAGTTTGTTATTATTACCGCAAAGATTCCTCTTGTTGGATTAGATTTGGAGAGCTTAACATACATGCTCGGTGAGGTTTCTGAAGTGCTCCGAGTTGATGACAACTAAAGCAGGAGCCAAGTAAACAAAGGAGCTTCCTTGAACCAATGGAAGACGAGTACCGAAGTAAGAGTGAAGTATGGTTGAAACTCCGGTGAGAAGCAGCATTGTTGAAATCACAGCGGCTGTATCTCTCTAATCATCATCATCATCATAAATCCAAACAGGAAAGTAAATGACTAGTCAACAACAGAAGAATCCATGGAAGACGAAGAAGAAGAAGCTTACATCGGAGCCATCCATTGCTGGTACAATGACGAGAGGAATAAAGACAAGTGAACCAGCTAGTGATAGATAATGTTGCAAACCGTAATAGATAAGTGGAGCTGCATTTCACAATACAAAACAAACAAAAAAAAAGCAGAATCTTTCTCAACATGTGTTCAAGAGAATCTTCCTAATTTTTTCACTAACCGTTGGAAGAAGAAAAAAAGCTAACATTTTTACTAACCGAAACCAGGATTGTCTCTGAGACCGTACTTGATTGCAATCGGTTTAAGCCATTCTCCACCGCCTGGATAATTGTGAAACCCATTTTCCAATTCCCGATTGATTCTCCCGCCTTCAATCTCCGTCTCCGCCGCGTTTCTGTCCTCATTCCTCTCGTCAGATCCGGTTACGTGTTCGATGTCGAATCCTCTCTTCGGTTTAGTTCGTCCCAGAATCGGGTCGATTTCGATTTTATGAGACGAGCCTTGACCTGTTTGTTCTCTACCTTTGGGCAAATCACAATCTGAGCTCTCGCCGAGCTTGGTACGAGTGCGGCTCGTGCTGGTTTCGCCGGAGTAATCGGAGACGAACCCGGTTTTCTTCGCCCATGATCTTAGGTCTCTCGGATTCAAATCCTTCTTCGGTTTAACTGGTTCTACTCTCTTTAGGAAAGCACCGAACTTTCTCTCGCCATTGCCATTTCCTTTCCCCTTCTTACCATTATCATCCGGATCCAAACCCGACCCGGGATCCATTGTTCCTAGATACTCGAAAAGTAGAAGCTTTTCAAGCAGGTTAATGGCGGATTTACAAGCTGTGTGTGAACTGAGCTCTTTAAGTTCAGCTCGAGCTTCTTCTTCTTCTTCTTCTTCTTCTCTTTCTTGCTAAGTTTGGCTCTCAAGTGAGAAACAGGGCGTAACGTAACTTTTTCTTTCTCACTCAAGTCGCCATCACTCTCATCAGCGGTTTGTCTTTACCTCAACTTAATTACTAAACTAGCCTTATTATGCATGCTTTCACATTAGTATAAGAAATATCTTTGTGTACAATATGATTAAAAAGCTAATAATAAAGTTTGCTTTAAGACTAAGTTATTCATCATTAGCTGCTTAATTATCATTTACTACCTGACGGTGGATAGTGGATACCATATAATCCCCTAGATATGGAACCTCTGAGTCCTCAAATGGAGCGTCTTGAAATCACAAATGGCAAAAATATATCCAAAGAATGAGAAAACATATAAAATCCGGAGAATCCCTTCCTGCTTCACCAATTACAATAAAATATACATATGAACAGAGGATTTTCATAAAGAATTACAATGAGAGTAGTGTTTCTATATACAAAAAAGATCAGTCGGTAGTTAATATTACATACAATCTGCAATCACTTCAAACTCAGTATTGAGTAAGAAGAAGAGAGTTATGAATGATACAAGATTATATACAGCACTCTTTGTGTATTTACATGAATTTTACAGCTCAAATGAATAATCCCTTTCCACACCATCAATTCCATCATCTTGATATATAACAACTCTTAGCACTGCTTCTTCTTCTTCTTCTTCTTCTCCCAATCCTTCTTTCCGGTTTAAATCCTTTCCCAGGATCAATCTAATTTGTTCTCCACCCTCTTTCCTTGATCAATGTACCCAATTAACACCTTTCTTCTTCCATAGCTTTTCTAATCCCACATTGCCTTTTTTTCAAACTCCTTTTCTTCCATACCCATCACCTTAATCTAAACCATAAAACTACTTGTGCTTCTCTTTTTTGTCTCTTTTTCTTTTCCATTTTTTCTCCTTTTTTTGAGTTTTCAGGATTAATGTGGTAACCAAAATGGTTCTTCAACGCTGTATCAGAGAGCTAAACCTACTACTAATCAACTACAAAGGGAAGAGACCTTGGTCAAAGGTTCTGCAGAGATGAAAGCCATTGCTCCATATAGTTCTTCCCATCTGCACATTTGATTAGACAATGAAACTGAATAAGTAAAGTTTTCACTTTGGATTAAGACAAACAATTTTGGATCATTGCACATGGCGATACAAAAATGAAACCAAACCCCTAAGAGAGCAGCTATGGTAGTTTACTAAACCAAAACCTCAAAAAAAGCAAAGCTATATATCACTCTCATGATCAAGTATTAAAACCACAAGCATTAGCCTTTAGATCAACCCAAGAGAGAAGAAACAAAACCACACCAAGAACACAAATTTAGAGGGGGAAAATCTCATACCAGGAGACAAACCGTTGGGGAGATTCTTGACAGCAGACAAGAGCTGGTTATTACTAGAGCCTTCGACGACAGCTCTGTAACAAGGAACAAGAACTAAGAAGCCACCATCATCACCTTCCTCATCGTTTTGGAATTCAGGTCCATGTGGCTCTGTCCATCCAACAGACCATTCAGGTCCATCACCAGCAGCTACAGCTACAGATTCAGAGCCAGAGGAACCGAAGCTCTCAAGTTCCAGATCGTTCCTCTTGATTACTCTTCCTTTGGCTCGGTTTATCTTTGTAGGGAACTTAATAGCCTCTGTCTCTTTCCCTTTTCTACCGCCTAATAACCACCATGGCCAGCTCGGGACTGGTCTCTTCATCATTTCAAGAACCTTTTAGTTTCTTTTTGGAAATCGAATCCAATTTGAAGCAATTCCACCATTAATCTGGTGAAATATCACAAAAAAAAAAAAAAATCCTTTTTGGTTGCAAATCGACCTCAAATGAATCAGAAGAAATCAATTAATGTTTGAAAAATTGGAAGAAGAAGCTGACAAATCGCAGAGCCAATTAATAAGAAGGAAGAAAAAAAAAAACTAAAATCTCCAGAATTTGAGAACAGACTGAAAAAAGGACAAAACTTTGCGAGCTCGAATTCCCAGGAAAGAGATGAGCTTTTCTTAAAACGTCATAGTTTAAGCTAAAATTCCAAGCTCAAGATCTAAGTGTCACCATTAGAAAACCGGCGAAACAGATACTGTCTCACCAGAAATCGGAGAAGAGGCAATGAAAATCAACCGAGTCACCAAGAAATTCAACACCAAAAGGAGATTTTTTAAATTGATCAGGTGAGAGAAAAAAAAAACACTAAAAACCCGAATTATCAATCGTCCCCTTCCATGATCTCTCTTATAATCCCCTTCACGACCAAATTCGTCCCTTCTACTCAAGAGCAAGTTGTCTTCTTCTGCAATTTATAATCCGATTTCTCAAATCCTTTGGATTTAGTTAGATCCAACGGTCACAAACTGACGATCGTCCCCTCCAATCATTATTAAATTACAATTATATGATTGATGCGAAAAAATAAAAGATTTCCAGTCGTTTTCTGAAGAGACAAAACACAAGTATTATTGTTTACTTAATTAATAAAAGAGAAATTAAAAGACAAGAGTTCCTGTCTACCGTTGATTCATGGACAAGTGGATCTTTACAACCGTACAAAATTGATGATGTGTCATGTTTTATCCAATCGTTTTGCGTGTTTATGAGGCTCAAGTTATGGACACGTGGCGAACTCATCTGCCTTTGGTTCTGACTTTTTTAACTCGTGGAGATTACGACGAAAAACCTTTGTTTTAACTACTTAAAGAGATAAAGACTTGTAACATACTTTTACCGAATGTTCTAGATATCTTGCTGGAAAATCCGGTCGATTTTTAAAAAAAGATCTGTTATAGATAAGTAGATAACTCTACTTCTTTAATTGATTTTGCGTTGACAACAAAATTTGATTTGGCTTTTTGTTTTTTTTTTTAATAAAAAGTTGGAAAATCTTATCAAACTAAATATTATTTGGATAAATGAAAATCACTTATGGATAATCGTTGTACTAGTTTATCGTGTTGATGGGTTAATCTCACCTGCTTTAGATATTAACATAGCATCAAAGATTAAAATTAGAGTTCAAATTTAGTAATTAAGTACTAGTAGAACGTTTTCTTAGTAAAGTAGTGATGATTTTCAATAACTTGCCGTTGGTGTTGTGTTGTCGAGAAATGAAAGACACCAGCAAATTAATAGCACACACGTATGAGGAATAATATGCTTAGTTCCTAACTTATATAATAAGTTGTTGTCATCAAACGTTAAACTATTCCATTAGTCAACTATACCTCTTTTTCTTAAATTTTGCATTTAGAATATTTGTTTGTTAGTGTAACCATTTCAAGCTAAATTACGTCTTGTTTTATGTCATGATGTGTATACCAAAGACCCAAAGAGGCGAACAAACCCGCAAACAAAAAAAGGAAACTTACAAATCAACGAAAATACAAATTCAGCTGTCCCTTCTTTTAGGGTCTGACTGGTTTAACCGCTGCGGTTGCGGTTGCGGGAGTTTGCGGCTGCGGGAGTTTGCGGAAGCGGGAGTTTGCGATTAAAAGCTGTTTGTACGACTGGTATAGCAATTCATAGCGGTTGCGTTTGCGGGATATTTTTGACTGGTTAGCCAGCGGGTGCAAGAGCGGTTTAACCAAAAGTTACTAAAATAAAAATAATATATAATTATTCAAAACATTTATAACCATATTAATAATTTTTTTTTTGAAATATATTTTTTGATGAATTTTTAATTTGAAAACTACCCTTTTTTTTGGTTTTGAAAAATACACTTTTTATATGTAAAATGATTATTCCTAATTTAATAAAAACGAAATTCAAATAAGAAATATAAAATATTAATATTTGATAATAATTTTGTATCATTTTAACATCCTAATTACCTGTTTAGTTTTTTTTAAACAATTTAATAAAAATATAAGATTGTTTATATAAAGTTTAAATGGGGTGAGATTAAAGTTGTTTATGCAAAGTTTCAAAAATATTTAAATTTTTCAAAAGATAAACATTAAAAATGAAAGATATATTTCTCCACTTTTAAATTTTTAATAATTTATAAACTTTAAATATATGTAAAGTTTTAATTTATTTAAAGTTTCATTTGGTTTGAATGTGTATGAGGTTAAGTTGTTTATATAAAGATCCAAAATATTAAAATTTGTTTCAGTTTAACATATACTATATTTATTTGAAAAAAAACTTATTAGTTTATTATTTTTTTAATTTTCGTTTATAATTTGTAATTATTTATTATTTTTTTGTTTAAATCACGTCAAAACATACTTTTTACATTTTAAAAGTGTATTTTTCAAAACAGAAAAAATTTAGGGTATTTTCGAAATTTTTAAACATAATTATGGTATTTTTCAAAAAAATATACCCTTATTCCAAATTTGGAGATATTATGTTTTTTTTTTTTTTTTTTCAAACCGCAACCGCCCGCAACCGCAAACGCTTGCGGAAAGGAGCTTTTGATTTTCAGCGATATAGAGCGGTACAGAGTGGTATAGAGCGGTTGAAAGCGGTTGTCGTGATTGTTATAAAACGCTAAGAACCGCTACGAACCGCAAACGCTGCGTTTGCGGGTGGTAGCGGGAGAACCAATCATCATCTTAATAATGAAAGTTAACGGATGGATATAGATGTCTTGTGAGGGAAATAATGGTATCAAAAGAAACAAAACTACAAAGGAAGACATTGGCCACATCCCACTCGTGACCAAACAACTCTCTGTTATTTCTATTCATTGGTTGAGGTTGGGGATCATAAGTAGAAAACGATTTTGTGTCCTAAACACTTGTAAAGTCACATGTCATTTAGTAGAAAGTGAAATCTGAATGAATGATATCGTAACATGATTTGATTTTGTATAAAACGGTAAAAGGACTTTAAATAATCCGAATGATATTGTTAAATATTGCTTTTTGTTTTGTAGGATAAAAAATACTCGTGCACGTAAACGAAACGATCCTTCAGAAGTTTATTAATAATAACGTGGAAGTTGCAGTAACATCACCTTGCACATGAATTTTTCTCAATGACGTACTACACATTAAATATACTTTTGTAAGAAAAAATAATTGATTACGATAAATTTCATTATTCCAGTATAAAAATGATTTCATCAAGTGCAAAAATATTGATTTTTATATGAAATGGGCCGACATTTTTAAAAGCCCGTCAATATATGCCCTTAAATAACGCTGTGCGGAAGTCAATTGACGGCGTTAGGCTCGATCTCCGTTTGCACATTTTAAATTCAGATTTTCCCCTTACTCCTCCAACGGCTCCTTCTCTTTTTCGAAAATCCCTTCAGATTGTTTTTTCTCTCTCATTTCGCATACTATCTCTCTCTCTCTCACTCACTCTCTCATCCTGAAGAATTTGAACAATCAATCGATTTCGTAAATGGAACTTTCGCTTTGAAGATCATTCCGAATCAGGTACTTCATTTGGGTTGTTTCGTGGAATTTCGTTTCCTGGGTTCACTGTCTATAAATTAGGGCTTGATCTATTCTGCATTCGAGACGATAAGTGGTTATTATAGGTTCTCAGATGTTTGGTTTTCATTTTTCAATGGAGACTAGCGAGTTTCCTCACTTTAATTTCATGTGGAATCAAAGTTTGGTTCTCAGATGTAATTTGTTTTTGTTATTTTTCACTTTCTTCCTTTCTCTAGATCTGTGGAATCAAAGTTGTTCATTTGCTGTGTAGGTAACCGTGGAAATATTTTGTTCGAAGATTGCTAAAATGGAGAAGGTCTATGAAGAGCTGGACGAAGTAAAAGCTGCAAATGAAAAGCTCAGAATTGACTATAGAAGCAAAACGGAGCTTCTCGAGAATCTCAAGAAGGTGCAGAGCAAGCAGTTAGCAGAAATCCAAGAGGCGAGATCGGTAATTGAGAAGCAAGGTTTTGAATTTGACGAGAAAACAAGAGAAGTTTCTGAGCTGAAGCGAGCAAACGAGGATCTGCAGCGTTGCCTGAGAGAAAAGGATTCTGTTCTCAAGCGTGTGAATGATGCTAATGATAAGCTTAGAGCTAACGGAGAAGATAAGCAGAAGGAATCCGAGGAAGAGAAGAGAAAGCTGGTGTCAGCTTTGGATGAAGCAAGTGAGAAGAACATTGACATGGAGCAGAAGAACAATGTCTATAGAGCTGAGATTGAAGGGCTCAAAGCGCTTTTAGCAGCAGCAGAAATGAAAAAGATGGAAGTTGAGAGAAGTGCTAAAGCTTTGAAAGAACTGAGAGGAAGAGATGATACAATGGTTAAACTGGAAGAGGAAAAGCTTCAAGTAGAAGAGAAGCTGAAATGGAAGAAGGAGCAGTTTCAGCATCTTGAGGAAGCACATGAGAAGCTCCAAAGCATGTTCAAAGCTAGCAAGAAAGAGATGGAGGAAGAAAGATCAACGCTTCTAGATGAGATCTACTCTCTCCAGACCAAGCTAGATTCACAAACTAGAATCTCAGAGGATCTTCAGAAGAAGTTACAGATGTGTTACAGTGCGCTGGCCCAAGAAGAGACCAGAAGAAAACATCTTGAGATCCAAGTTTCTGAATTCAAAGCTAGATATGAAGATGCCTTTCAAGAGTTCCAAGACGAAAGAACAAAGCTTGAAGATTTGGCTGGCAAAAGAGATGAGGAAGTTGCAGACTTGAGACACTCCCTGAGCGAGAAAGAGGCTTACTTTAAGGAGATGAAGTATGAGAATGGAAGACTGGAGCTGGAAAACCGGGAGTTGCTGGTTTCACTGAGAGAGCTCCAAGAAGCTACAATTCAGGGATCTGGGAATTCTGCAGTGTCAAAGCTGAAGAACAAGTTTCGGAATCTGGAAAACGTGCACAAGAACTGTTCAGCTAATTTAAGAAGTAAAGAAGCTGAATGGAGCTCTCAGGTGGAGATAATGGCAGAAGAGATGAATGATTATAAGCTGCAGCTGCAAAGAAAGGAGGCAGCACTGAAAGAAGTTGAGCTGGAGCTTGAAAACTTTCATTCTTCGACAGGTAGAATGATACTGGAGTATGAAGAAATCTCAGTCATGTTTCTGGTGTTGAGTAGAACAGTCTCTGAGGCTCAGTCAAGGCTTGCAAATGTCAAAGACGAACAAATCAAGGATGAGAAAAGAGAAGAAGAGAGCTCTTCTGTATTGATTGAGCAGCTTGGGCAGAAGAATGCTTTGCTGGCCAAGGCACGTGAAGAGACTGAAGAAGAGCGTGAAAGGGTCGCGTGCTTGGTGAAGAGAATAGAATCGCTGGAGCTTATTGAAGAACAGAATCTCCAGATGCAGAGAGAGGTAGAGAGGTACAAAGAAACAGTTGAGGAATCATCTAAACTCCAAACTCAGATGAAAGAGAAAATGAAAGAGGCTGAAAGAGATTACGAAGAGAAACTTCTGCAAGTCTGTGATGCGCTTGACAACACAAACTCAGACCTCGTTGCAGAGCGTGAGAAGGTGGTGGCTTTAGCAAGGCAGGTTGAGTGTTTTGGTAATGTGAAAGAGAAGAATTTGGTGATGGAAAACGAGATACAGAAGTGCAAGGAGTTGCTGGAGGAATCAGAAAAGTGTCGGTTGGTTTTAGAGGAGCAGGTTTCGCAGCTTGAAAGTGATTCCAAGGAGAATATTAGAGAGCTCTGCAGCAAGGTGGACACTGCATATGCCAAGTTGGCGGAAGAGGCTGAGAAGACTGCTTCCAGGCAAAGGGAGATTGATAGTTACAAGGAGATGCTTGAGGAGGCGACCAAGAGTCAACTTGTCTTACAAGAGAAACTTGCTGACGTTTCTGAGGCACTGGAAACAGCAAACTGTGAGCTGTTTGATAAAACCTCTGAAGCGTACCAGCTTGAGTTCCAGTTATGGGTGTGGAAATCTATCGCTAAAAGGCTAAAAGTCGAACTGGAGCAGAGCCAGAACCTGCGGAAAAGAGTCGAAGCTTCTCTTCTTGAACAGGTTGGAGTTGGAGAAGCCATGAGGCAAGAGAGAAACGAGCTCGTGGATAAACTGAAGAAAGCAGCAATGTCTGATTCAGAGAAAGAGACTCTTCTCCAGATGGTAAAGGATAAGGATAAGATCTTGACAGAAGTCCAGAGAGAGGTGGAGCTGTTGGAGCAAGAATCACTTAGTAGGGAACTTGAGGACGCCGTTCTTGCGCATATAACTCTTTCAAGGGATTTGCAACAGAAAGAAGAGGAATTTGAGGGCTCGTTAAAGTCTGTATCTTTGCTGCTGGAACAGAAGCAGAACGAGGCTAATATGGTTTACAAAGCATGGGAGAGACTCGCTGCTAGTAACATTCTTACCGAGGTAGAAACCGAGGCGGGGAAGCTGATGATCATAGAGCTTGAAGGGGAAATCTCAAGTATCAGCCGGAAACTGGAAACATCTGACGAATCTGTTTCTAGTCTCAGAGAAGAAGCAGCCAATTTGGGAGCTGAGTTAGAAACTAAGCTGAAAGAAGTAACCACAGAGATGCAGGAGAAGATTAGAACTTCAGAAGCGGAAAAGACAGAGTTGGTTAAACAAGTCTCGAGTTTGTCATCAGAAAGACAAAATCTCATGTGTTTTGTCAGCGAATTGGAGAGTCGAGTGTCGGAGCTGTGTGATGAAGACACGAAGGTGATGAAAACTTTGGAGAAAACTATGCAACGTTGTGATGGATTTGGTAAAGAGAACAACAACAGTGTTGGTTCTCCTCCAAGATTGGCAACGAAACGTGAAGATGATGTTGCAATTGAAGACAGGTCACCATTTAGACAACTTAACCATTAGTTTTGAACTTTTGATTGATGATAATTGATTCCATTCCACAGAGAGAAGATGTTTTTTTTTTAATCTCTAAACAGAACTCGTTTGTACTTTGTAACTTTGTTGTGTTGATGTGTCTACTTTCGATGAAAGGTCTCTCGTTTAAACAGAGGCTTTTCAGATTTTCATGTCTAACATCTCCGAACCTTATTATTAGAGTTAATAATCATCTCATTTCAACCTCCTCTTTTGTTTGTGTCTTTTTAAGTTATTTATTACAAGAGATTCTCGTGCTTATTTCTCATTAATCACCCATTTATTACCTTTGTGATCTTGTTTTTTTGTCTTAACAAATTAAATCAACATCTCCTTCGAATTCATTGTTTTGTGTCGCCATGGTTTTACTTCAACATGTAAGTCTCTCTGTTGCTTTCTTCTCTCCCAATCAATCAAAATAAAAACTTTTTCTTCCTCTCTGAATCAATCTCTGTTCTTTTTTAACCCCTCATGTCCTGTCTTGTGGTTTTAACGCAGTTAGAGCAAAGGATGAGTCCAATTTCTCGGTGTTAAAATGCAACGGCGTATTCAACAACAATGGGAAGAAATTTGTTCACAAGTGGAAACACAAGCAGCAAGCTATTCTCCAGAGCTTCGAAAACCGAACCAAAGGAAGTCGCTGCAAAGAAACATAGCGACGCAGAAAGAAGAAGACGGCTTCGGATTAACCACCAATTCGCAACTCTTCGCACGATTCTTCTAAACTTGGTCAAAGTAAGTTTTCTAGTTTTATGCATTTTCAGTTAGGCATATAATTAACGGTTTAAACTGAAACTAAAACAGCAGGATAAAGCATCTGTGCTAGGAGAGACTGTGAGGTGTTTCAATGAACTGAAAGAGACGGTTAAAGAGATACCAACCACACCAGATCTAGAAGACAGCTTGAGACTGGGTCACTGTAACAAGAGAGACATGGCGAGTCTTTTTCAGTTGCAGCGACAGAGAAGGGCTAATGTCGGAGGTCGCAGCGTCGTTGAGAGCAGCCAGTGCAAAGGCGGTGAGAGCTGAGATCATGACTGTAGGTGGAAGAACCAAGTGTGCCTTGTTTGTTCAAGGTGTGAATGGCAATCAAGGATTGATTAAGCTCAAGAAATCATTGAAACCTGTTGTGATTCGTAAATCAACAACAATGGAGGATCGCTCTTGACATACGCAGCAATAAAAGAAAAAAACTGCCTGTGTTTTTTTCTTACCAAATTGTTGCATCTCGCATGGTTGCTTCTAGTAGAAAGCTTTCTTCTAGGAAACAAAGATTTGGTATAAGAAGTTGAACCAACAAATAAAACTCTTCAAACTTTCTCTACCCACTTCTCATCAAACCTTCCTCCTTAAATAGAGGCTTCTGCACAAGCAAGGTCTCAAACCAAACAAGAACAAGAAAAGCAAAAACAAACACACACACATCATCACCATGGCTTTTCTCAAGAACACCTTCTTCCCATCTCTGGTCATTGCACTAACAATCACAACCTTCTTCACCGGAATATCCGCTCACCGCCATCTTCTCCAGTCAACACCAGCGACTCAGCCTCCCCCGGCTTTAACATTCCCACCTCTTCCCAAAACCACTATGCCACCGCTTCCTTCCCTCCCAAATCCACCACAACAAACCCTGCCACAGCCACAGCCACTACCAACTCTGCCGCAGCCGACCGGGTTACCACCAATGCCGACACAGATACCAACATTGCCGACGATCCCCAACATTCCACAGGTGAACTTCCCTACGCCCGCCAACTTTCCCTTCAACCTTCCTTTCAACATCCCAAACATTCCTTTCCTCACTCCACCACCTTCAAAGTAAAAAAAGAAAGCGACGAGCTAGCTCTTTAGCTGTCACAGACTCTATATCAATCATCCTTCTCTTTTAGACACAGCTTTGTATCACACACTTTACTCTGTACTGCTTCACATTATTTTCCATGTCGTCCTCCTCATTGTTGTTGCTTCCATGAGTCACTTCCTTTTGTACTATACAGCTTCTTCTAAATGATATTGATAATTCTTCTCCTTTGTGTTTTCCTTTTGGTTATATAAGCTGTGTCACGAACTACTACTAGTCTATCATCATCATACATGACATAACGTATTAGCTCATCATATATCACGAGACATTCTTCATTCTGTTTGCTTCACAAAAGTAACGAATACAGAAGAAAAATGTTTTGACATAGCTACAAGTTGCTAAACGCTCTTGTAAAAGACAAGGTCTCGTCTGCAGTTTGATTTGACGGCATCCTCTAGTTTATCGACCTGGTCAAAATCAACCTTGAAGGAAACCATGGTGGTACCATCTTTACCAGTATCATAGTCTTCCTTGATGTCTTCAGCCCCGCACGATTGCAGCTGCGTCACACACACACACACACACACACACAATCTCCCTTTGAGCATTGACCCCACACACAAAAACTGAAACTTGATTTCGGAACAAATAGTCACCTGATTGTAAACAAGGCCTATAAGATCAAATGTGACCTCCACTCCCATTTGAACCTGCAGAAACAGAAACAAAACGGATGATTTTCGTTCAAAGGAAGAGACTTTTTGAGAGAGTTGGTTTACTTTAGATTTGACGAGGCAAGTAGGAGCGGTTTTCAAGCAATCAGAAGTAACGCCGCCATATGCTCTCACAAGACCTCCGGTGCCGAGTTTGATTCCTCCAAAATACCTTTTAGAAAACATTTCATCATTCTTCGAGAGAGAGAGAGAGAGATTCATTCTTCGAGAAACGAAAGATAATTTTACCTAATGACAACAACCATAACTCTGTCTAATCCAGATGACGAAATTGCAGACTGCATCGGCTTTCCTGCGGTTCCTGATGGCTCACCGTCATCGCTACATCGATGTTCATCACCAACCTAGAAGATCAACAGAGAAGCTAATTAAGAGTGCCAACAGAAGAAGAAGAAGAGAGAGAGAGAGAGAGAGAGAGAGAGAGATCGAATTACCTTGTAAGCCCAGCAATTGTGCGTAGCGCGAGGATCCCGGACCTGGGAGAGGAACAGTTGAGCCGATTGCTCGCCGGAGACGGGACCCGCGATTGCGACGAACTTGCTCTTCTTTATCTCTTTCTCTACGGATACCATCTCTTTGATTGTGGTGAAGGCGGAATTCCAAGGCATCGAGCTCTTCGTGGATAGGATCGGAGCGGCGGGTGTTCGCCGGCGGAGTACGGCGGAGACGGTGCTTGCAGCTGCTAACGGTACGCCCACCCGCATCGGATCCCTCCCTCTCGCTTAATGTCCATTTCGAACCGATCCCTCTTATACTCTCAGGCCCAATTACTGTTATAGTTTATCATAATTCATAAGATTTTTTGAAAATTGTGAGAACTTTTTTTATCTTCTACTTTGCTTGTGACTGTTTTTGCATTTCATTATTAGTTAGTTGTTTAAAATTTATTTTGTTAGTTCTTTTATTTCTTTTATTACATTTTTCTAATTTTTTTTGTTAACATATATTATCACGTCATCAAATATTAAACCGATAATAATTTTTATTATTAATTAGTTGTTTAAAAATCATTTTGTTAGTTCTTTTATTTCTGTTATTACATTTTTTCAAACTTTTTTTGGTTAACACTTGTCATCACCTATTCAAATATTAAATCAATAATAATTTTGATTTCGCTCCAACTGATTTTTTTTTTGTTCAATTTTTATGGGTCATAACAAGTTAGTCCACGGACCTAATTTCCTCCCAATAAGAAAATGAACCCCACATGGGAAAGGTGGAGTCGAACTCCAGATGGGATGAATGCAGAGGTGATGCACTACCGCTGACCCACTTGCTCATCTCCATTCCAACTAATCTAGAGTTAAATATTCTTTATTGATATCTTGAACTTTTAAATATTATGATTTTTCATTTCTTAATGAGAGATATTTGCTTCCTATTTTTCTGATTTTCGTTTTTTTTTTTTCCTTTTCGTAATGGAAATAGGTTTTTTCTTTCCTTTTTCTATGGATATTTTTTTTCATTGTTTATTTCTAGTTTTCTAATTTTTCATTGGTCTTATATATATATATATATATATATAATATATAAATTTTGTTTTTTTATTCAGTGACACATGTCACGATCTTAATACTTTGAGAATAAATAAATAAAACACATGTCGCGATCATGTGAATTATTAAAAAAAAAAAATCTATGTGTCACTATCACACTATCACGTTGTGCGCATCTAATGTTATATATATAATAAAATAGTGGAGAATACTTTATAACATATGCAGCATATCATGACCATTTTATTTTTTTATTAGTTTCTTAATTTTGTTAGAATGTTAGTTGTTACTCCTAATTTCCTAAAGCTTCTTGCTCAGATTACTCAAAATAAGAATTTTTGTTTTCTCTTATTTATCCTTCACGTTTTAGATCATATCCTGAATTCAAAATCAGTTATACTTGAATATTTGTTTACATTAATATATAATAAATAATGTAGTTGTAAACCATTCATTTATTAGAACAAACAATTCAATCATATATGAAAAGTGAGTACAAAAATTGTGGGCTAGTTCTAAGTACTTCAACGAAGATTAACCAAACCAATGATCACGATCAGTCATTTAACAAATACTATTAAATACTCAAAATATAAACCAAACTTTCTTAATGGTATTTAACGCATTTGTTGCAAAAGCACGTCCTTCCCTTGTCGGTAGTATCTAAACATTTACCAAAGGCACGATCAAACTCAGCGCAAACTTTTTGGCAGTTACGGTCACCTTGAGTACCTTGTGCACTACATGTCGCAGGAGTTGCCCATGTTGTTACATATGGCTTAAATTCCTTACATGGAGGAGGAGGAGGACGACGACGAGGAGGAGGAGGAGGAGGAGGAGATGGTTTTGTTTTTCCCTCTATTCCATAATATTAATTGTTTTAGTTAGTAACACAAAGATTAAAAAAAATGTTTATTTTCAAAAAAATCTTTTTAATAATTTAATTTAATCAATTATGAAAAAATGTATTATATAACTGGTCATCTAGTAAAACAAAAATTGCATAGAAATGTGAAAACAATTTATATATCATGTAACAAAGGGGATAAAAAAGTAATAACTAATGAGTATGAAATCTCATAATTATTTGATAAATTAATTTATTTAATCATTTGAGTACAAAATATTGAAACTTGTTTTCATAAATGCATTTAGTTTTAGTTAGATCCTAATAAATGTTTTTGTGTGGTAACGTTTGATCATGAATCAACATGCATTAAATAAATATTTTAAATATAATTTTAATTCTCTATATAACTTTTTGATTATAAGTTTGAGTAATTAATTTCATTTGCTTTGTTTTCAATTAATACTGTATTTTTAAAATTAAAAATAGTAAGTTATCTCTACTTTATATTTATTTTTCTGTGTTTTTCTTAATTTTACTTATGTTTTTAATAGGAGTGTAATTAAAAAAATATGAATATATATGTATTAAATTAATATTTTAAATGTTGACAGAAAAATAAATAATAAATAAATAAACTAATATTTTAAATATAATTTAGTGTTATTTTTGTCTAATGTAGATAGGCTAGATAAAGAGAAAACTCTCCTATCTTATTATATAAGATGAAACAAAATGTTCAATGAAAAAAACATAGATAATCATTGATACTATAAGTTGTTTAAGATGGTAAAGATTGTATGGCAAAACGAAAATAAAATTCAAACGAGAAAGAATGAAAAAATAATAAAAGCATATTGTTTATTACCTGTTTGAGTTAACAAGAATACCGTTAAAAGAGTGATGATGCAAAGAAGTAGTTTTACACTTTTTGCCATATTTCCAGTTTTTCTTAATTTCTGTCTATTTATTTTTCTTCTGTTTTTTGCTTTGCTTTGATCGGACTGTTATATACAAAAAGAAAAAATTCCTTACCTGAAAAGTAGTCCGTAAGAAACGCCTACAGAACAGTTCCAAAAGGGGGATGAATATTGAACACAAATCTGATGACCTCATATATCTCCCATTCATTTACTACATATATATATATATATATATATCTTTTAGGGTTAAGACTTTTTATTCTTATCACATTGTCTAATTACTTATACTAGCAAAAAAATGTTCTCCCTGAAACGTAAAAAGCAGAAAATAAACGAGACACCTAAGTCGTCGAGATCCACACGTTTATATGGTCTTAGATAGTACACAATTAAAAACAATTCATGTGTCTTTTAGTATTTGTAGGCTACGACTATGGACATTCTAATACAACTCTAGACAAGTTATCTGTCGAGTTGTTAGTCAGTTCTCAGTTTTTTTTTTTTTTTTTTTTGCTTTCGTTTTAGTAACATATGAAATCGGTATTGTATCACATGTTAGGCTCCCCAAATTTGGCATACTATATAGAGTGTTGGTCAAATTATAGGAATCAAACTGATTTTACAATTCAGAGCATGAGAAATTCATACTAAGAAACCAATACAATTAATTCTACCCAAAAAAATATAGCAAATGGAATTTTCTGTAACTAATTGAGGACCAAAACCCTTAGCTTAAAAAACAAATCTTTAGAAGGAAATTTCTGCATAAAATATCTAAGACCTAACAAAATTATGACTTGTGCATAATAACCTTAGCTTAAAGTAGAAGCCTTTCGTAATAACCTTATTATATTCATATAGTCATATTGTTTTCTCTTTAGATATATCATATATGACAGCAACGTTTTACTACACGGTTCGATTTTGTTTAAGTAAACTTCAAATCTGTTGACAACCTTTCACAAAAAAAATATAAAAAAATTACTTCAAATCTGTAATTAATTGTTTCGGCAGTTAATATGTATGGTAAAAGTGCGGATCCATAACTCCATAAAGTGGCGGGAAAAACGTCAAAGTAATAGTAATATGTTTTAAAATTTTGTGGTGAGAACAAATTTATCGACCAAAAAAAAAAACAAATACTGTATATAGACCGCTAGAGTGTGTGGTAATGTTCAACGCGAGTTAATTATAAAGAGAGAAAAAGTCAGAAGAAAAGCCATTTCGTGTTGTCTGTATCATAATGACGAGGGCTTTGACTTTTGTTTCTTTCTGAAAAACCAAACTAACAGATTAATAAGTGTCCAAACAAAACAATTAGAAAGAAGATGTGAAAGAAACAGAGCGAAGAAGACAAAAGATTTGTGATGGCGAGTGTACATCACTTGGACCACCACCATTCTTACGCATTCGTATTCTTAAGCTTTCTTATTTCAACGTCTTCCTCAACGTTATCATCTACAGGGAGACATGTGCGGCTCTCGGCAAACAAGGGCACGATTGTGTCCCCTGGTGACGGTTTCGAGCTTGGGTTGTTCAGAGGCGCTAGCGACCTCTGGTACCTTGGAACATGGCACACGAAGGGAGAGAGAAGACCCTTTTGGGTTGCGAACAGAGACAATCCTCTCTTCAGTCCTAGCGCAATTCTTGAGATCTCCAACAGTAACCTAGTCCTCCGCGATCAACCTGGTGGTTCAGTCTGGTCGACAGGAAATCTTAGCAGTAGAGCAGAGTTGGAGGCAGAACTCCTGTACAACGGCAACTTCGTGCTCAGAGAGGCCAACGACACAGATAGAATCCTGTGGCAGAGCTTCGATTTCCCGACAGACACTCTGCTCCCGGGTATGAAGTTGGGCTGGGATCGCAAGATCAATCCCGAGAGAAGCTTGAGCAGCTGGAGGGACTATAACGACCCGACGACGGGTTATTTCCTCTACGGAGTTAGGCTCGGAAATCTCCACGAGCTCTTTATATGGAACATAGGTGGGTACCGTCCTGGACCGTGGTACAGAAGCGACGTCGTAACGGAAATGAGCTACGGGGCTATCAACATAATCGATGAAGAAGACGAGTACACAATTTCTTATGCTATCACGAATAGCAGCTTCCCCTGGATGATTAGGTTGACGCAGGAGGGAGATTTGTGGAAGTTTCAGTGGGATCCAACTTCTAGAGAATGGAAGGTTTCGCCCCAGGCACCGACCGCCGAATGCGATTATTACTCCAAGTGTGGCCCCGACAGTTACTGTGACGTCAAGGAAGCGCAGATTTGTTCTTGTATTCAAGGGTTTAGGCCCGTTGACCAACAAGCGTGGCAAGTGAAAGATTTTACACTCGGGTGTGAGAGGAAGAGGCCACTTACCTGCAACGAAGATGTGTTTTTGAATCTGACGTCGAAAATGAATATGCCAGACAGTAAAAGGACTATTGCCGTCCCAGAGATTGGGTTGGAGGAATGTCACAAGAGGTGTCTTGCTAATTGTAACTGTACAGCGGTTTCTTATACAGACACGTATAAGCCAAGTGGGGGATGGGGTTGCGTCATGTGGACGGGAAAGCTCGTCGACCTTCGCTCAATGGAGCAAGGTCAAGATCTTTACGTTAAAATTGCGTCTCCTGATCTCGGTTTGTCATTTCTTCTTTAAACATACATGTATATATATATATATATATGTTAACTAAAACGCTCATCATCAACGTACCTAATACTGTTTCTTGTTTAGGAGGGAAGAACAAAATGACTAAATTAACATTTGGCTTGGCTGCTGGAATCAGCGTCTTGCTTCTTCTGAGTTTCATCCTCCTCTGCTTATGGATTAGAAAGAAGAAGCGAGCAAGAGAGATTAAACAAGCTGCTGGTACTAGATTCATCATCATTCACATTCACATCCTTCTTCTTCATTTATGTAACTAATACTATTGACCGGTCATGTTACAAAACAGCTCGTCCCAGGATAAACCAACAAGACCATCTCCCATATTCTCTGGATTCGGAAACGGGAACTACGTCTATGGACTTCGATACCATCTCCACGGCCACACAAAATTTCTCTGATTCCGCCAAGCTCGGAAGAGGTGGTTTCGGCATTGTATACAAGGTAGCATTAGCAATTTAGCATACATGTATTTTCCTAGATATATAGAGTAATAGAGAGACTCCCTTTTTTTATTTCTTATATGACAGAGTCTCTCTCTTTCTCTCTCTCTGTACTTGACGGGCAAGAAATCGCGGTGAAAAGACTGACCAAGACGACACGTCAAGGGATTGATGATGAGTTCACCAACGAGGTGAGACTGATCGCGCGCCTCCAACATGTAAACCTCGTCCGCCTCGTTGGCTTCTGCGTTACCGAGCACGACAAGTTACTCGTGTACGAGTTTCTCCCAAACTCAAGCCTCGACACGTACATCTTCGGTTAGTGCCAGAGAGCGCTCTTTTGTTTATTTTACAAGAGTCAGAGGAGATATATTTACTTGCTCTTAATTTTTTTTTTGTCAGACCCAACCCGAAGCCCCATGCTTGACTGGGCGACGAGGTTCAACATTACCAACGGCATTGCTCGAGGCCTTTCATACCTCCACCATGATTCGCGGGTTCGAATAATTCATCTTGACCTTAAACCTGGAAATGTCTTGCTCGATCAAGACATGACCCCGAAGATTTCGGATTTTGGGTTGGCAAAGATCCTGGCAAGGGATGTGACGGAAGCACGCTCGACGGCTGTTGTCGGCACTTTGTAAGCTTTATGCAATCAAAATCTTCATTCCTTATTGTTTTTTTTTTTTTACCCTAAGCCGACTTTGATATATATTTTTTTTTAATCTTTTGTCACGCAGCGGTTATGTCTCACCAGAATACATGAATCACAAGGTCTGCTCAGTTAAATCAGATGTCTTCAGCTTTGGGGTAATGCTTCTTGAGATTGTCAGTGGAAAGAAGAAAAGTAAGTTCCCTAGTCTCAACGACGGAGACGATTTTCTCATCCATGTAAGTTCAAAGCAATCATATCATTTCATCCTCTTTTCTCGAGACCTGGTAAAGAAAATTATAAGCTTACAATCTTTATGAGCAGGTATGGAGTCATTTCACTCAAGGAAAAGGGCTAGAAATTGTAGATCCGGTCCTCAAAGACTCATCCTCATCATTTCGGGCAGATCAGGCCCTCAAATGCGTTCAAATTGGCCTTCTCTGTGTTCAAGAACTTCCAGAGGACAGACCAACCATGTCGTCCGTCGTCCTTATGCTCGAGATTCAGAACGTGGACATTCCGCAGCCGAAATCGCCCGTTGAGACTGCTTCAAGTTCATCATCGACGACAGACCGTGAGTCTTTTACGGTGGCCCAAATTACCATGTCCGCTATTCAAGCTAGGTAAAAGATATTGGATTAGAAGTTATAATGAGAAATAATAATACTTTGATGGACTGTTTTATGAATGTATAACCCATCATCCGACTGTTATATTTAAGAAAAATTATTCGTTACTTTTTTATAAAAGAAATAGGCAAGAAAAACCATTGGCATACGAAAGACAGAGAAAAACAATTGACGTATTATTAAATTATTTGTAATCCTAAAAAAAAAACAGTGGGGAAAGGGAACATGTTTTTCTTTTTGTACACAAGTTACTCAATCACTATCAGACCCAAGAACCTGTTTTTTAATTTCACTAATCTTCGTCTTGAGTTCTTCTCTGTTCCTCTGCAAACAAAGTTTACATTGTAAGAAAAACAAAACACAAACAAAAAAAGACGTTGCTGTGTGTTATAAACTCAGTCGCAAAGGCGTATTTTACTCCTTACCTTAAACAACAAGTATCTGGTAGTGAACCAGAGCGTGTATCCGAGACCAACAACTTCCATCAGCTTAGGAAACTGAAGTCATTGTCAATGAACATATTAGCCTGTGTCTCTGGACATAGTAAGAAGAAAAGATAAACAAGTGTACTAACCAGAGGAATTGATTCGAGTGAAGCAACGATTGCAGAAGTCAAGTAGAGAGCAACTATTGCACCACTCCCATAGAGCAGGACTGAATATGTATTGTCTGAGTCCAGCTGCATTAAACAATTGTCCAAAGTGTCTAACTGAGATTTACTAACTAGTGATTGCATAATAAAAACTCTATGCATAACATTCCATCAAGTAAAGCACAAAAAAATCTGAAGCACTTCTTAGGAAGAGATATGATATACCTTTATGTCATTCAAGAACTCTAGGGCTTGAGTCTGCTCAGAGGACTCAGATTCAGCTTCCGCTTCACTTATCAAGTTTTTATCTTCAACAGCCACGTCACGCTTCTTCTCAACACCAAACTCATTGACTCCAGTTGATGTCTCTTCGGAAACTGTTTCTCCTGGAAACTTTCCCGTACACCGCAAAGCTCCTGTAGCCATTTGAAACACACACATCAGAGAAATCATTACAACAACAACAACAAAATTAAAAAATTGAGCTCCGAAAACAAATCCAGTCAAAACATAGAAATGTTGAAGAATATAAAAAATTGCGAATCAATACTCCTTGGAAACAAAAAAGAAGACGAAAACGAGTGGAGAACAATTGAGTGTGAAATCGCATAGCACGAAGCAAAACAGGGTTTCTAAGTTCTCTTACGGGATTGAAGACCGAGTGATGCAACGTTTCGCAGGGGATGGAGAGAGATGCTACGAACGGCCAGATATCCATGGCGGGTGGTTCCCCTCCAACAACTCCGAGGGAGGTGAGTGATGGTAGTGACTGTGGAGAGCTCCATTTCCGTACGGACGCACGAGCTCGCTTGTGCTAGGGTTTCACTTATCGAGCTGTGTCTGTGATTAGTATTTGGGTCCTCTCTTAGGCCCAACTATATATAAATCGGCCCGTTATGAATTATTCGGTTTAAATTATTTTTTTTCGATAAATCATTTTTCTTTGCTTCCCTTATCGATAGTTTGATACAGTCCTAAAATACTCTAATACCAGTTTGATTTGACTCACCACTTTCTCTAGTCAATGCACTAAAAAAGCAATTTTATTTTCTCTGTGTAAATGAACAAATATGCCAGATTTACATTTGATTTTGTGTGTGTGTGTAGGTTGTTGACTTGTTGTACATAATCTTATGAGATAAACATGGAAACAAAAACCCTCATAAGTTTTATTTGCGTGAGAAAAGAATAACTGTTTTAAAAATAATATTACATTGCAGAAGTATAATACAATTTTTGCAAGGAAAACAAACAAACAAAAAAAAATCCGCAAGGATCACCGGAATCATATTGTTTCAACAATCCCACTTAAATAACCTCAGTAACTGCAGAGTTTCAACAATTGCATTGAATAAACTAACCGTAATCACCACTATAATTATAATTGCATTAACTAAACCATTAGTAACTACAAACGTTTCAACAACTAAACCCTGGAACTAGAACTAAGAGAATACACCTTGAATTTTTATTTTCGAGGAATATGTTCAAAGGAAAATAATGCAAAAACAGTTTTTCTTTGTGCAAATAGCACAATTAGTCATAATCTAAAAAAATTGTGTCAATTAAAATTGAATATTTATAACCAAAAATGGAGGAAGTAAAAAAAAAAAAAAAAATTGTGCAATTTAGTGAAAGGTTCAGTGTAATCGCATTACAGCGGCTGGTCCTATCTCCTCTCTACCCTAAAGGGCACTTAGACACACACAGACACCTCCCAACTTCTTCTCCTTAAAATCTCTCTCTCTCTCTCCTCCGCATCTCATTGAGACACGACCTCCTGAGAAATCTCCCAATCTTGATGACTCTTGTCGTGTCGTGGGTTTTCATTTTCACTTACTGAGCAAAGAAGAATTTTCATTAACAAAAAAAAACCCACATGGCGGAGGAGAATCTCGTCTGTGAAGAAACCAGCGAGTCGTGGATCAGTGACAACTACGACGAAGACGACGTTGTTGCTGTTGACGCCGGCGGATTCCTGAATTACAACAACGAAACCTTACGTAAAGACGTGAGCATTTCCCGGAACGGATCAATTCCGGTGATGGGTTTTGCGTCTCCGGTGGGAGATGATGCTGGTGACGATTGCATCGGAGAGATGGTTGAGAAAGAGACTGACTTTAAACCCGGAGACGATTATCTCACGAGATTGCGTTCTGGGTGTTTCGAGCTTCGTCTTAGAAACGAAGCCATGGATTGGATTTGGAAGGTTCGGTTTTCTCATCTATCAAAATCTGTTTTTTTTAATCAGATTGTATTTTTGATTAGATTGCTGGAATTGAAGGAAGGATCTTTTAAGAATTGGAGATATTGGATCTTTTATTGATGCAGTTGTATTTAATGATCAAAATTGGTTTGTTATTGAAACAGGCTTGTGCTCATCACAATTTTGGACCTCTCTGCATTTACCTATCAATGAATTACTTAGATCGGTTCTTGACGTCCTCTGAATTGCCAGTAAGTTATAAACTTGACACCACATTGCTTTCTTGATCCTGAATTGGCTTTCGTTGCAAAATGGGTGATTGGTGTTTGTACGTTTGCTTAGAAGGACAAGGCTTGGGCTGTTCAATTGCTTGCTGTGTCTTGCTTGTCATTAGCAGCCAAAATGGATGAGACATTTGTGCCTCTCTCTGTTGATTTACAGGTGCAAACAAACTCTTCTTTAAGTTGTGTAAAGCTCATTGTGAATAAAACCTGAAACCTGGATTAGGATTAAATCTTGCTAAGTTTCTGTTGGTTGTGTGTGATGACTGATGAGCAGGTGGGAGATCCAAAGTTTGTGTTTGAGGCTAAAGCAATAAAAAGAATGGAACTTTTGGTGCTCAACAAATTGAACTGGAGAATGCAAGTGATAACTCCATTCTCCTTCATAGGTTATTTCCTAGGCAAGATCAGACACCACCCCTCACAGAACTGTATCCATAGATCATCGCAGCTCATACTAAATACCACCAAAGGTGAGCTCTTTTTTTTTCTCTCTTCTTCTCTCAAAGTTTGTGACTTTATCAGAATGGTTTTGGTTTAATGGGGTTTCTGTATTGAATGCAGAGGTTGAATTCTTAGACTTCAAGGCTTCTGAGATATCTGCTGCTGCAGCAATTGCCCTTTCCTTTTCAGGAGAAGCTGAAGCAGTTCATGCCGAGAAAGCTCTGTCTAGTCTCATACATGTCAAACAGGTATCGCTCTAAACATATATTAACCCTTTGAGATGAAAGATGAAAAGCTTTTTACTGAATCAATGGATCATTTTGTGCTTTCTTTTTGCAGGAGAGAGTCGCTAAGTGTTTGAAGATGATGGGAGATTTGTCTGATAGGATCAGTGTTGGAGTGGCTGCATTGGCACCGCAAAACCGGTCGGTGCCTGTGCCGGAGAGTCCCATTGGAGTGTTGGAAGCAATATGCCTGAGCTTTAAGAGTGATGAGATAACAATTGGGTCATGTTCTTCAGATAGTAGTGCAGACAACAACAGCAATAGCAACAAGAGGAGGAAAATAACATTGAAGGGTGAGTGAGGAAGAGATGACAGAAAATATAGACTCATAAAATTTGATCCACATCTCTCCCTGACATTTTGAAAATTTTCACTTTTTAATGCTATTTTTTATATATATAAATGTTCTCATCTTCAATCAGAAATTTCGATTGAGATGAGAGTTTTGCGTGAGCAAAATTCATTATAAAGAAATTGGAAAGCAGAATTAATAAGATGATCAGTGAGGTTCTAAGTTTCATACTTTCATGTTTATTTTTTCTTTTGTAAAAGAATTAGGGTTTTGTTGCTACATGTTGGTTTAATTAGGGTGTTGTTGCTCCATGTTAATTAATTAAGTACAAATACGTAAATAAACAATTTATTGGAAAATCCTAAAACAGCAACATCAAAAAAATTAGATCGATAAGATCTGAGAAAATGTAAAATTTGATCTCAGGTAGCTTACAAAAAACATTAAGATTATATTTATTTCACTCAATATTCTGGATTTTATTTTGGTCCTTTTGTTATTAATATACAAATCATTAAAGAGAAAGGATATTCGATACTTGCATGTTTTAAAAGACGCTCTGTGTGGGGCCTTTCTTATTTTTGTTTTGACTATACGACCAGTCAACGTCGTTTCCTCACGCTCCCATTTGTATTTAAAGATCTTCCTTTTAAAATGGAACTGTTTAATGAAAATCATTCGTCTAATAGATTACTTATTTAATTATTTTTTTGTATTCTCCACTGTTTTTCAAAATATTTAATAGGAGTATTCCACTATTTCTCACGAACAAACTAATAGGCTTCAAATGGTGACAAAGATCAAAAAATGCAGATCAAACAGTAAATCATGTCGAACAAATACAGATCAAATGTATATCAAACGCATCTACAGTAGAACCAAGTGATATGGCAGAAACGGAAATAGGAGAAGGTGATTTTATGGTTAACATTAGGGAACATATTGCAAATATATTATGGGCAGATAAAAACATTTCACGTTAATTTTTGTAATATTAGTTTTATGTATGTTAATTTATAATCGAATTAATTTTTTTGATAATGTTTAATTGTTTTTTTGTTTTTAAAAAAACTTTATATATATGATTCTAAATTTTTTTTGTCTTTTATTTTGTTGTTCAATTAATTAAAAAATATTTATAACTGTTTAATTTGTTTGATATGCATTTGATCTGTATGCAGATCATGATCTGTATTTGTTCAACGTGATCTGGATTTACTGTTTGATCTGCATTTTTTGATCTTTGTCACCATTCGAAACCTTTATTTATTTGTGTTAAATGGTTAATTGGAGAAAAAATGTAGGTGAGCCTGCATGACAGATGGAATATATGTGATCTGTATCTATTTCATACATCCATTCAAAGCCTAAAAGACTCTAATTTGCCTGCGGATAAGAAAAAATAATATTTATCACGAAATACAAGACTGAACTGCAGTGTTGATGGAGTGTTTTATAACAAATCGTGCACTTCTGAAATAAATGATAGTACCATACTGCTACAATAGTATTCGCATATATAATGAATCAATCATTAAATAATCATAATTCAATACGTTACGTTTGTATATTCGATCCAAGTTAATGAGCTTGTTTACTAAGCACAGCAATTATAATTTTTTTCGTTAAAAAGTGCACAGCAATCATAGCTTCAATCAATTTGATTCACTCGCATTGATAAACATTAGTACTACATCCGTTAAGAAAACAGAAACATAAAGTAAATTAGACAAATCCGTAATTATCTGTGTGTATAATACAGTATACCCATGCAATGATGCAAATTAAAGAAGGATCAGCTTTTGAGTAGTAAATGACTGATCCACAACAACTACACAAATTCTTGTAATTTAATAATTCACTATTTCGGTCCTTTTTTTTACTGTTGTTATTAACCCTCTTTTTTTTCTTTTCCTTTTTTTTTTGATTCTGGAAGTGGCAACAGAGACAATTGTCTCGAAAATGCAACTTTAAGATGTGAAAATTTATTATATGCAGACAGACTTCGCAGTGCGCAAAGTTTATCTTCAAAACATAGGAATCTCGGGTTTTGTAAAACATAAGTACATAACTGTAGTAACTTTGTCTAATCATTTATTTAAAGTGTCACTATTGTTTCTCACTACCCAATAACCCCTGTTCATCAGCTAATATCAAGGAAGCATATATATAGAAATCAAACCGAGAGATATATAAAATTACACGTTTGAGACACAAACTATATTCTTTGGTCCGAATTCCGACGAATCACTGTAATCTTGACTGTTGTTGAGTGATGATAACTGATAAGTGCGAGACCTTTTCAGACAATAATAATAAGTTATCTATTTTTACTATTTAGCCATCAGTTTCTAGACCTTTTCTCTCCCTTCGTAAATCATGATATCTCTCTAATACAGACTTAAGAAGACTTTGGACCGTTGTCAAAAAAAAAGAAAAGACTTTGGACCAAACAGTAATACTATAAGATACAGGGCAAATCGAACACGAAGCAACTGTTCTATTGCCAATATTTTAGACCTTTGTTGGTAATTATCAAATAATCAAGTGTATTTTTGGAAATATCATAAGAAACATATGCTCTCTATACATTTTGTACAGAAACTTATGAGAAAGTCTTGACAAGTGAAGAAGAAGAAGAAGAAGAAGAAGAAGAAGAAGAATTAGAAGATAGACTTTGCTTTAATCATCTTCCCAATGTGTGAAGTTGTTTTGTCTTATTCTTCTGAGAAGCTCTCTAACATCTAAACCCGACCAAAAAAAGATGTAACAATGTGGATGAAAAGATTTAGATAAAATCAGGCTGACCCGTGGAAGTTAAGCAACGATGCCACATCCGACTATTGGGATCAACTGATTTCGCATAAGCAATCACTTGAGGGATCGGTAAGTAAGCGTAATGTGTGTTGATTATCCCCACAGTGATTCCACTGTACCCTGCAAACGCTCCATGAACCTGTTGCGAGATGATGATAAATCAAAATCAAAATCAAATGTAGTTGTAAACAGTTTTAGTTATATCTAAATTTAAGGCGATCAAGCAAGACATTACAGCGTTTTGTCCTAAGACCGTGCAGAGGATTCCATCTGATGCATTCGCTCTGACAGCTCGGATCATGTACGTTGGATCTATATACTTCACATCCGCCGAAACACCAATCTCCTTGAAATATTTCTTCGTCTGCATTTACAATTGTTTTCGTTAGTCACATTATTATTATTCATCATGATTGAAGAGAGAGACTCAATAAATTCACAACCAAACAAACAAACCTCCTGTTGAATGTGAACACCGATGTCACCGAGGACTTTATTTCCAGACGCATCTTTCGCATTCGTGTTCTCTAGGAAACTCTGAAACCAGAGAAAGAATGTTAAAGTGTTCTTGTTCGTATCCAGAGGATCTGATCGAGTTGTTTTACCTGACCGGCTCCTTCTGCAACACAGATAACAGCAGAGCCTTTTGTTTCGATAAGGTACTTCAAATGTTTCAACACACCATGAGGTCCATGGAGATTGAAATGAACCTTAATGAAAAGACTTTAGTTAGTTAATACAGAAGCAATCTCTCTCTGACAGTTTAAGATACAAAGAAAAACAGAAGGTACCTCGGGGATCAGACAAATGTCGACTTGTCCGCTCGCTAAGGAAGCTTGCATGGCGATGAATCCACTGCTACGACCCATCAGTTTCACAACGCCAATGCCATGATAAGCACTATGTGCCTCGATGTATGCAGAGTTTATAGCTCGCTGTGCTTCTTCAACGGCAGTGTCAAACCCAAAAGTTTTATCCATATGAAGAATATCATTATCGATGGTCTTGGGTACACCAACCACAGCTACCTTCATCCTTCTTTTAAGACACTTCACAAAAGAGAGAGAGAGAGAGAGAGAGAGAGAGAGAGAGAGAGAGAGACAAAGAAAGGGTGAATCAAAGTTTGAAATCAAAAGCTTTGTGTGTGTGTGTGTGTATGTTAACAAGTAATAACAACCTCATTGTGAATAGCATTGGCACCAGCATGAGTTCCGTTACCGCCAAGCACGAAAAGCATGTTGATCCCTCTCTCCTATTTTCAAAGATAAGATTTCAAATATCAGAATTTGCAGTTTCATGACTACAAGTGAGAATTGAATCGAATGATATGATCAACCTCCATGCTGTCCACGATCTCACCAACAGGCGGTCCTCCACGTGAAACCCCAAGCAAGCTTCCACCTGATAGATGAATATTTTGCACCACTTTCCTCGACAGCTAACAAAAACCAAACTACAAAATCTTTCAAATGTAATCTTGGCAAGAATACGTTTTCTTGAGATAACTAGAACATTACCGGCATTTCAGGTAGGTTCTTATCAGAGAAGCCACGATAGCCAAAAGGTATCCCAACGACGTTCTTCACACCATATATCTCTAAAGTGATCACAATCTAACAACAACAAAACAAAAGCAAAAAGTCAAATCACAAGAGAGCTTCTCCCTACATGAAAACAACTGTAGCATCCCATTAAACTCACATGTCTAATGACGTCATTGAGACCAGGACAAAGCCCACCACAAGTAACAATCGCTGCCTTCACTTTCTCAGGTCTGAAGTATATCTTCTCTCGTGGCCCAGCACGATGAACCCTAAATGATAATAATCAATCCTTACAAACTTCTATCAGACAATGGAAACGACAATAGACCCAAACTCAAAAAAAACTCATTTTATTATTATTACCATTGCTCAATCCAAGTGCAGTCAGGATCAATACACACAGCTCCAGCAGAAGTTGGTGATGAGTATTTTATAACCTGACCCATCAAAATCAAATCCAAACTTTGATTTTGCCCTAATTACTTACCATCATCATTAGAGAGGAAATAAATTACCTTGAGAAGCACTCTGTCTTTGTTGTTAATGTATCCATGCCATTCTTCATCGGACGGGTAACCTCCGGAGAATTCTGCCGTCGGAGACCTACCGGAGACAGACAAACAAAAAAAAATCCACACTTTCAGCCCTAAAACGATCATGACTCCGTGACCCAGAAACTGTTTGAAAAAAAGCTTAATCGAGCTCAATGGGATTTTTGGGAATTAGTGACCTCATCTTGAGACAAAACGTGGAACGGATGGCTTCTGCATCTGGGAACACATCAGTGATGTGAGGGATGTTGAATCGCTCCTCGAAATCTCTCTCATACTTCAGTTTCCAATCGGGATCGCTGAGATCAATCGCCGCCTCTGCTCTCACCGCCGCCGCCGGTCGTCGACGAATCCGCAAGGAATTCGCCGGGAATATCGGTTTCCGGAGGATCAAAGAACCGATTGGAGCAGAGCGGAGGAGGACGGAGTTTTTGTGAGTTACGCCTACGGCCACGGCGGTGGTCGAGCCGACGCCGGCGCCGATAAGCGTATCCATGGAGAAGGATGATCGGATCTTAGCTTTACAGTTTCCCCACTAAAAGTAAAGACTTTTGGAGGGAGATTTATTTTTCTCACAGTTTCTATAGAAAAGTAGAAAAACAGAATCGCTTTTATTCTTAGCCGTCGGATCTTAAGATCTCTGAGTTTCTCGAACTTGTGCTTCCTAGATTGACGAAGAAGTAGGTAAGCTAAGTAAAAACCAAATCTATTGTAATCTAGTTATTAGAACCAAATCTAGCAACAAACAGAAATAAACAAATAAACAAAAAATCTGATTAATATTGACATATTGTTAACGAATGAAAAATAGTTATAGGGTCAGTTTGCTAGAGATAGTCAAAATTGGTAAATAAAACAATTAGTAGTGTTTGTTCCTTTAATTAATCGAAAGTTTGTTCAAAAATATTCCCAATGATTTTTGACTTTCGCATACGTCGCATCACAGCGAAGAGTGGATGTATAAATGAGAGAATACCACGTAACTCCTACGCTATCCACCACCGATCCATAATTTAATGAAACGAATATTGAAAGAATAATACGAAGAGAAAGAACAAAGAGTCTCTTGAATTATTCAAGCAGCGAGAGAGGGACATGATCGAGAAACAGACAATGAGTAACATTGTGTTTCTTTGATCAGAATTAAACAGAGTTCATTTCGGTAATTTGTTACGATGTTATCGTGACTAGTAAATAGTAATAACCTTTACATATTAATTCGGATGACAAAAATACCAAAAAACAATATTATGTACTTTTGTGACCATTTATCAGCTTCTAAAGTCTAAACATAAGAAGATAATAGCATGTAGTGTGTTGTCGCCTTGACACAAACACATGAATCTTCTTCTTTAATCTTTATTTTTCAGGCAGAAATGCTTGAAAGCAATCCATAGCAGCCTTATAAGTAAAGGCATTTATTGTCACCAATATATAAAAAAGACAGACATAAGATTCAATTTAATCACCTCTAGCTGGATTTCTGAATCTGCACTTAAGATATATTTTGGCGCGTAAAAGCTTCAAAGACTGTTTAGTTAACGGTCACTTAAGACCCTAATATTTAGACAACTTATTAAAACTCTCACCATGTCTTACTCGGACCACCAACTATTGTGTACCGGAGCCCACAAGCGACAAATGTCAATGTCAAACGACGTAGTTTTATAACCCCCTTTGCATAATCAAGTGAACAAAATAGGGACCGCATCATAAAAAAAAAAACAGAAAAGGGAATTGTGAAGCCATGGACCAGCAAGACTATAGGCAACAGAATGTAAGTAAAACATATATACACACATGCATGTAGTGTAACTTTCATGATGGTAACCAAATTAGCAGTTAGCTACTGAATGGTTTATGTAAGTATAATTGTAGGATCATGAGAGAAGACTCCTACTGTCCAAAGAAGAAGAGAGGATCCGAGATGAGCTTGAAATGGAAATAGAAAGAAATCTGGAAGCAGAATTCAAGGATGGGATTTACAATCTTGCACTCAAGCTACGCAGGCTGTATGAACAGAGACGGGAAAGAGAAGAGTCGTCCGATGTTTCCATGAGAAAGAGCAAGAGAGTCTTGGAGGTGAACATAAGTATCAAGATGGAAGGAGATACCAAGATTGAGATCACAGAGAGGAAGAAGGAAGCAGACAACGAAAAGACGAAAAAGGCTGAGAGCCTGGACAAGAGAAAGAAGTTTGCAGCTGGTGGTGAAGATAAAACAAGAAAGGAGAAGATGAAGATTCCAACCAGAGCTCATGAACTCAGATGGAAATGGTAAAAAGAGATTGACTGGCTTGGATCTCCTGTTCCTATTTGCAAGTATCTATGTTTTCAAGTTTTCATCCTATTTAAACACGACCAAAATTAAGAGTTATAAATGCATGTCACATTGTGCAATGAAATGGTAAGAGTCAAATATTATATAATCTATAACAAAATATCATATCCTAGAATCCAGTTCGTTTCTTTCTATTAGCAAAAATATGATTTGGAGATTATTTAGCAAGAATGTGGTAATCAAATACTTTAGTTTGCAACAAAAAAAAAGGCTATTGTGATCAAGAATGCATCACACAGACTGTAAGGCACCGGCTTGCGGAGTATCTCGCAGAGAAGTAACAGCACCTTCGTAGTTTAAGAAACCCATGAACCAGAACTCATGCTCATCCACCGAGATCACCTGTATATACTTTTCCGCTGGATTCACTGTGCTTGACGAAGGGTTCACCGATTTAACCTGATGTAATGGTATCACCACCTGTTTTTTTAACAAGAAGATATCAATATTTCTTGAAAATCAAGAAATGAAAGAAAAAAAAAAATGAAAAAGGACCTTGTAATAGCTCCATTCGGTTTGGCCAGTAGAGACTTTATAAGAGAGAGGGTTATCGCTAGAGTAGGCAAGTTTCGAAGTGGAAATGTAGAGAACCCCCATGACCGGACCAGCTGATGTCGACAAGTAACACGCGTACGAGTTTAGCAGCTGTTCCTCTGCATCTGTCTCAAACGTTTGTCTGAATATCTTCTCGTACCCTCCTTCCGCAAAGACCTTCGTGCTCTGTGCGATCCTTCCCATTGCCGCATCCGCAAAGCTCGGTGCAGTTTTCACTGATTGAATCAAAAAAAACAAAACCAAACATTAAATTAATTAATACGAGGAAACAGAGGAGGCACAGTTTCAGATCGGAAAAACTCACGGTGCTGCCACGTGTTTCCGGCGAGGCTCTCCGCTTTGATCGCTGCTTCTCCAACTCTCCTTCCCCATCTCCCAATCGCGTCTCTCACAGACTCCATCGTTTCTGATCCGATTTTTCAGACGATATTATTTACAGCGTTTCGTTGAGACAGAGACAAAACATTTGAAACGACACTTACCTTTCAACGAGGCATCGGAAGTTTCAGCCGGAGCAGGAGCGACGTATGGATTATAGTTAGATCCCGCGGCGGAGGAAGAATGAGACGACAAGGCCTTGTGATCCGGTGCTGGAGATTCCGACACCAGCTCTGGGTTCCAATGGACCGATTTCCTCGATCGAGTCGGAGTTTGATCGGCCGTCGACTCGATTACGTCCTGAAGCGTAGGTTTCTCGGATAAGACTACCACGGAAATCGCGTCCTCGGATCCTTTCGGTCCCTGATCCACCGGTTTCGGATCAACGCTTGGCTTCGGGTTCTGATCAATATTGATCGGAATTTCCGATTTCACTGCCGCTTCTCCCGTCGGCTGCTCCATCGTCGGAAAAATGTATTTCGCCTCTCTCCCCGGTAACTCTTCTTTGAGGATTTTTGAATTTCGCAAGTATGGTATCGTTGGCTTTGCGTTTCTCTGTTTTTCCTTTTTTTTTTCTTTCTGTTATTGTGGAAGACGGGTTTACCGGGAAAACCGGTGACTAGCCGTGAAATGTGTCGCCAATTAGAGAAAGTAGACCGGTTTTGGTTTAATTTATTGGGATTTTAAATTTCAGATTACATTTTGGTTTAGGACGAAGGTTCTCTCCAGCAAAACTTTTCCCAATTTTAAAACTTAAATTTTGTATAATAATATAAAAAAATTTCTCACAATATAAATGTCAATCATCCACAGATAATTCTTGTCTGCCTCGTCGTAATTAAGCTTAGTGGGTACCAAGTATTGCGCGTGGTTTCGACTATTGACAAATAAATCAAAAATATTAGTATAATGTAACTATCTGAAGTATATAGGTTGGCACAAAACATGTCATTTTCTTACTTCGATGTAAACTTGACGCGTTATTACATTACAAAGATGAAAGTTACAAAGGCTAGAAGATTTCATCCATCTTTTACGCCGTCAAATGTTACGATCCATGGAATACTACAAGTCTACAAGCGAAGATAAATAAAAGTCGTGGTAAACCAGGACGTGAAGTTATCTACAACTAGTCAACGACAGCTAATTACCAAATTTTAACACGAACTTTGTCTTCTCTTTCGATAAACCCGAGTAGATATATGTTTTTCGTCTGCTGCTCCTCCATGTAGACAATTCTTGAAGAAAACTTCAAAATTCAAGACTTGGTAAAGACTTGTTAATTTTTATAAGCAATAAAGAAACAAGTAAGAGTTGAAAACATATGTGCTTGCATGATTTAAGAGTCCAGATATTAAATAAACATCCTAAACATTTTTTTATATAATCTTCTTAACTATATATAGGGAACGCCTTTCATCATTTCTCCACCACCAACAAAGACAAGAGCCTTCTCAGTTTCTCTCTTTCTCTCGTCGTTTTCTCTAGACAACGAAAGAAATTGAAACAGAGATCAATGGCAGCTCTTAAGACATTGCAAGCTCTCATCTTTCTTGGTCTATTTGCCACGTCATGTCTCGCTCAATCTCCGGCTCCGGCTCCAGCACCAATCACGCTTCTCCCACCGGTAGAGTCTCCTTCTCCGGCTATTACACCAACCGCTGATTCACCTGTTCCGGTTGCTTCACCACCGGTTCCAGTCGAAGAGCCAACTTCAGCTCCGGCGACTCCACCCACCGTCGACTCACCACCGACTATGTCTCCACACACTTCTCCCGTCGCTTCTCCCCCGAAGCCGGAAGGTTTGGCTCCAGGCCCATCAGGCCCAACCCCATCACCATCACCAGCTCCGGCGCCGGAAGCACCTGCAGCTGACTCAGCATTGACAAACAAAGCTTTCCTTGTGAGCACCGTCATTGCCGGAGCCTTGTACGCCGTCGTTTTGGCTTAAGAGAGCCTTGAGTATTACTCTCTCTCTCTCGCTCTTCTTTGTTTTTTTCCTTATCATGATTTGTTGACGAATCTCTCTGTTTTCTCTTAATACATGTCGTATTTTCTTCCTCTTTGTTGATGTGTTTTTTTGTTTGTTTCATAACTCTGATGGGACTAACCTGAGGGAGGAGATTCTCATTGTAATTTTCTTCATAATAATTCTTTTAATCTTAAACAATGTCTTCTATTACATAACCACGTTCGTACAAAACTACAAATTTTGATACACCATTTTCCATCTATTGAAGTGGATCGGCCCAGAGTAAATCTGAGCCAGTTTATGTCTTAGAGAACATTTGAGATAGAACAATGCCATAAGTTTTTGGTTGATGAGCAGTTATGATTCTTATGAACATTCTTCATAAGAAAACTGAAAATCTCATTTCCAAACTCTCTAATACATCAACAAATGAAAAATAAACCATCTATGACTTGACTTTGTGCTGGCTGGTATAAATATATCTGAAAACAATGATCAAAATATAAAACTTCAAATTGTATATCATTATTACTCTGTTTCCAGACTTTCTTCATCTTTCTTTTGTCACCGGAATTTATCTTTTTAAAATTCACAAGACATCTGACTAAACTAAGAAAATAAAAATTTCACAAGACGGTCAAAAAGTCTTCCACTCAACAGAATGTTCGACCAGAAACCGGATAATTAAACCGATCAACATTGGAAAATCTACCGGAAGAAAACCGAACAGCATCACCGTAACCAATAATCAACCGATCAGTAAACCGAGCCGATTCATAACCTTTTTCTCTCCTCCCAATCCCAACAATCGATTTCTCAATCTGCCCATAATTATCCTCTAATCTACCAATCATACCCTTAACCTCACGAACCAAACTCCAAAACCCATCGATCCAAGCTCTCTTCCAATTCGCATTTGAGATTTCAGACAACCTTTCTTTACAACTCTCGAGCCGCTTCAAAGCACAGACAAGCTCGATCGAATCCCCGAAGCTCAAAGTGTTTGACCGCTCTTTAAACTCGTTCAGTCTCGTGTAAAGCTCGTTGATCGACGACACGTAGTCTTCTCCAACCAAACGGGTGATTTTGTCGGCGAGAGTTTTGCCGCCAGATGAGGGTATATCCGGAATTTTACATGCTTCTTCCAGTAGATCGACGAGCGCGTCGACTTCACGCAGCAGATCAGTGTTGGTGAGAGACGAGACCATTTCTTCGTATTCGTCTTTGTGGATTGTGCTCGATGTTGAAGAAATGAAAAACCCCATGATTCTTGAAGTTGATAACAGATGCTCAAGGTATAAAGCGTACCTGAAATCAAAATCCAAACTTTTAAAAATTGAAACTTTTGGTTCTTTAATAACATAAAAATGGAAACTTTACTTACCATCGGACCCAAGAAGAAAGCTCCCACATCAAAGGGGACTTCTCATCTCTGAAACTAGAAAGCTTTAGATAATTCCGACCACCGGAAGCCGGAAAAACAGAGAGCTGGTCTTGGAGGATGAAACGACCGTGTTTAACGATGTGGTGGACGATGATCAGCGATTTGAGAGCGACGCAGGCGTCTCCGGTGGTGTGAAGACGGTCCATGATGGCTTCGACGGCAGAAGCGGCTGTAGCTCGTGAGCCAGAACCGGCAGAGAGGAGAACGGCGAGGTGGCGATCTCCCGGCGGAGTAGAAGGGTCGTGAGTAGTGGCACGGAGGACGGAGAGATGGAAAGAGAGAGATTTGCTTTTTGGGTTTGATGAGACTAAAGCAGCTCTGCTTTGAGAAGCTTTGTCTTTGATTATTCCGATTAGATCTGCGAAACTTGTGATTCTTCCCATCGATGAAAGCTTCTGGTGATGGTGATCTACAAAGATGGATGATGACTTTTTATTTGTTTGCTGGATTAATAAGAAGATGTTTGATACAAATATAGTAATATTTTTTTATTTAGGTCAAGAATGGAAACTGTTTTTATTCGATGCACCCAACAGGGGTCAAAATAATCAATATATATGGAGAGTCACTCAGTTGTCGATTTATTTTTGGTTTGTGTCTTTTTATGTTTTCAAGCTACTTTCCATATTCAAACAATATTAAAATGGCATATTATCACTCAAATCGGGCATACGATGATTTCTTATTATTTACCAAACTCATAGTCATAGAGGGTTATCGTATATCAAAAATTAAACCTTCGATTTCTTACAAAAAATGGTAACAAGAAAATGATCAAAAGAATGGAAAGGAATATAAACATCGATCGATCGATATGTTTAAAATACTTTTTGTAAAATAAAGTGTTAAGAAATGACGATAGTTTTGATTGACGGAGACATTTTAAAATTTGCATCTTTTAATTACGAAGTTGGTATAGAAAACAAAAGACGGAAAACTCGTTCTAGATATTATTAAGGTCGTTTTCGACTTAAACGAATAAATGGGTGGAAACAAGTCGCCAGCCTGAGATAGAAGAAGAAGAAGAAGAAAAAACAAGAAGAATTCATTATGTTTACTGATTGGTAAGCAACTAACGAGTCCACAATCAAATCGATAACTAGAACTGACGCGTAATAATTCGGTAACGATCTCATATTTGGGACTTAACTGGGACACTTCTCATCGCGTCGCTCATCTCGGCCCCTACCTATCTATGATCAGACTTTTATGCATGTTCCTTGGCAGAGCCGTGCCTAGTGAAGAAAATTAGAAGCACTGGCCTACGGCATCCAATTTTCATACAAAACTTAAGAGGCATCTATATATTATTTTAATGTGGTTCATTGGTAGAAATATTATCTTGACAAGTCTTTAACTTGAACATAGATGGATCCCAATCAATATCATTAGAATTTGTTTTTATTTTCCAACAATAACAACTTGGGCTTTAACGTAAACTACATGGCAACTTAGGTTTTCCCTCTGTTTTGTATGTTACAGTTTTCTGTATATACAAACTGAACTTAAAACAAGAAAAATCTATTGGTGTAATTTTTTCTATCCAAATTTTATTTTACAAAATACTGATATTTTAAATTATTTTATTGTAAAAACAATTTAATAAGATTTATTAATTTTATGTGGCCTACGGCATCAAAAAGTCTAGGCACGGCTCTGTTCCTTGGTTGCATATACTTTCCAATCAAGCTGATTTACACATTATCTAGAGAGAACGCATGGCATGGAGATCAACCGAAGTCTAGTAAACAACTCATTCTCATAGACAAGACCGTTTATAACCATATATCTTCTCTCTGCATTTCAGGCCACAACAAATATATGAGAAGACGCTCACGTTGTGGTTTGCAATTATATGATAAGATTTTCCTAGTTAATATTTCAAAAAAAGAACGGATATGGGATTTTGCATCACTAAAATGCAAAACCCTCAAAACTTCAACAAATGCATGCTTTCATCGTGTTATGAAAAAACGAAATTGTTAAAACACCAATGCCTGTTTCGATAATCTCTCTCGCAACAAGTTTGGAACCGATCAATAAAAAAAAAAAAGAACAATATATATGTGACATAAAAACTCAAACAATGTCTTCATTATTAAATTTCAAGCACTCTTACAGGGACAATAAAACTTGTTTAGCGAGTTGCTAAACAAACTGGATGTTTATACAAAACAAATGAAGAAAAACCAAAGTGAATATTCAGTATTTATTTACCACTCGTATATATATAGGAAGAAAAAAAAATGAATATTCACCACTGACCATGGGCTAAGAGCAAATCATAACGTCGTCATTTCAGCCGTTAGATTTCTGTGATCTAACGGAACCGGTGTTTGACTTTGAAACAAACAAACCCCATCGATCCGCCCAATTGACCCGATCCGGTTTCCCATCGGACCCCATTTTGTGACTGCTCTCCTCGCCGCTCCGGCAAAAGTACTCTCTGCCTTCCGCCATCAAACCAGCGTCAAAACTTCTCGTCCGTTTAAGCCTTCGTCCTTTCACCGCCATTATTCGCATCTTCACGTCGTCCGGCAACCGCAGAGTAAACCTCTCAGTTTCGTCACTGAGTCGACCCATCGAATGACCAGTCGAATTCGACCGCGGAAACTTACCGGCGATCTCAGAACTCGGCCGCCTGTGGTGACTTTTCGCTGCATCAACAGTCTCCGATTCTCCCGTGAGACAGCCGTCGATGTTAATCGCGACGTGATCTCTCGTCGGAGCTCGAGTCGCCGTGTCAACTTCCTCGCCGGGTTCATCCCATTTCGCCGTGAGATTGGATCTGCAGACAGGGCAAGTGGCGTGGGAGTAAAGCCAAGCGTCGATGCAATCGATATGGAAGAGATGGTTGCAAATCGGAAGCAACCGCACCGTCTCGCGGTCCTCCAATTCGTTGAGGCAAATCGCACATTCCAGATCGCCGGATCCGATCTTCGATTCCTTAACGAAGGAGTAAGCGAAGACAGGGAAACTCTCAACGACGGCGTCGTCTAGGCCGCCTCGCCGTGAACAGCCGTCGTAAGCGCTACGGCGGTAGTATCTAGTGGAGAATCGGGGACTAGAGAAATTGCAATGGCGGATATAGACAGAGACTAATCCGACGGCGAAGAAGATGGAGACGAGAACGGCAAAGACGGTGGTCTTCGACGGAGCTTGAGCCGATTGCAACTCGCGGGGACTCGGTGTGAGTGATTGCGCATTGACTTCTTTATGTACGATGAAAGCCACGTGGAACACTGTGATCATCTGGAAAATAATCCAACGGTGAGAGTTCAAACCATGGACACGCGCCATCGTTCATTCGAAACGACACCGGAAATAAGAATGAAAAAGAACGGTCGAATTGCAAAATATAAAATGTTTTTGATTATCAGCTAAGGTTAGACGCAGAGATTATCAAAATACAGAAATTTAATTTATATACTTGAAGAAAGGGGAAGCAAAGAGTTGTCTCGAAAAAGCTTCAAAAGGCTAAAATCATATAATTTGACTTTTTGATTAACTTAAGAAAAGGTATTTTAAAAGGGACACTAAGCTAAAATTTGTCAACTTGGGGTTGATAAGTTCGTTACTAGTAGTTTACTGTATTTTATTAGTCATTTTTCTCAACTTGTTTGATGAAATATTCTTATCCACTTAGATTGTGTGCTTCGTTTGTATGTCAATCATGTCTATCCACATGTTCACAGTATATACACAAACTATTTGTCTCCTCGATAGGCTCAGCTTAATCAATTCATAGAGGTCAGGTATGTTTCATTGGTACGGTTGCTTTTCCTTGATTTCAGACAAGAAATAACAAACAGCACACAAAAAACAGCAGAAGTTGATTATACTCCGATTCAGTGGTGTGTATCTCCTTGCCAAAATTGATAAAAACAAATTATATTTGTGGCCACACCGATAATTCAAATGATATATCAACTGAAGAGGTATCAATTCAAATTATATAACATCCATGCAATTTATCAATTTACCGGTTAAAATGTATAACTGAAAAGATGAACACAACTAATAAAAATATCATGAATGATTAGATATTTTAATTATGCTAGAAATTCGAGGTTATATGGTTTGCGTTAGTATCACCATTCAATCTTTTTTTCCACTTGATTTATCATACTTAGATAAGAGATCTTTATCTAATTGTCAACTAGAAACGAATATCACTGCAGAACAAACCGAAAATTTAATTGGGACAGTTTTGTTAAAAATTGATGTCATTACGAACTAAGGGGGCTAATGTTTTTATAAGAAATTTCTAGCCAACCTTCTTGCAAAAGATATTTTCTTACCACTTACCTATTAGTCTATTACAACAAGATATGGATTAGTCCACTTATACTAGAGATGATAGAGGCAAGTTCAGAGAGTGACAGAAACAGAATGCAAAATCTTGTGGTGATCTATGAAAGGATCAAGAGTCATGACAGCACTTGACCACTCAATATTGCCCCAAATCTCACCTCCTTGGGCTCGTCTCTCCACGGAGATCTCTGCACACCAGATCTCAAGACGATCCCCATTGATGACGTCCCAGAAGAGCAGAATGTTCCCACCAGAGTTGCTCAGTCTAGCCCCGGGAAGTAAATCTTCCAACTCCTGGCTTTCACAAACCGGCCTCGGATTTAAATCTTCCAACTCCTGTCTTATACCATATTTGATCTTATATTGGTCCCACCGATGGAGCAGCTTCTCACCAAAGTGGACCACTCTGGAATGAAGGAGACTCAAAGTCAAAGAGCCCAAACCCTTGACCTCCTTGGTATCCATCATCCCCTCTGGTTCACGCAACTCCAACTCATCTGGCTCACACCAAAAGATGGTCCCCTTTCTGCTAAGACAGAAGATGAGATTATCAACCATACACCAATCCCTTCTGTTCCCACTCGCTTGACCACGATTCCCATTTCCCCATTTACCTTCCCTCGGCGAGTAGTAAAAGGTTCTATCGTTTCCATCCACTGCGTAAACCTTTTGATCCCTCACCACACTGTCGTGGATCATATTATTGCCCTTCTTCTGAGCCCGCCGCAGAGTTTTCCAAGTTTGAGTCTTTGGGTCGAACACCTCTCCAAGCTTACCCACCACGTCGCAGCCTCCTAACACGTAAATCTTCCCGTCTACGACGCCAGCGGCCGCGTAAGCTCGAGCCACTCCCATTGAAGGGACGCTGCGCCACGTGTGACTCCGACAATCCAAGAGCCACACATCGGAAGTGGCCTTCCCCTTTATCATTCCACCCATCACATAAATCCCCCAATCCACCGCCACCACGGAGAATGCTTCCGGAGCCTGAGAGGGGAGCGAGGAGATCGGGATCAGATCGGGGGAGGAGCCGTCTAGTGTTTCTCTGCGGCGGAGGATATACCAGCCAAGGTTTGGATCAGGAGGAGGGGTTCGTAAGCATACGTAGACGCATGTTTCGGTGCGACCCATCTGCGATCGGATCTTGTCGAGATCAGGGGAAGCCACTAGAGATCGATAGCTCTTGCCGGCCACAGATAAGGCCGCACGATCCAATCTCGAGACTCGAGCCAGGCAGTTCAGAGCCACATCATCTGGCAGCGACGTTAGCAGAGACGACGCCGGAGACGCCTCCATCTTCCTCTTCTTCTGAGGTGGCTCTTCGGAATTCGACATCGGCTCATCTCAAAGGTCGTTTCTTTAAGAGGCACAAAAACGTCTCTGTTTTTATAGGTTAGGTTAATTTAAGAACTGACCAAAATCCCGACACAAGTAGGAATGCTCTTAATTTCACGGTTTTTACTTTTTACTAGATTTCTGGTTTAACAATTCTTATACTTTTACTTTTTCTTTTTTTGGGTCAAATACTTACTAGAGAGTAGAGAGGGTTGAGTTAAGCCGTGGGAACAAATTTGATGTTGCATAAGACAATGTATGGGTTTCTCTCTTCTACACCAACAAGAAAATAAGTAGCAAACACTAGTTATTTTCGTCATTATCATAGTTGTATAAAAACGCGTAGCATTCTATGCAACACGGACAAAACTGTTTCAGAGACAGTTTATAGAAAAAAAGAGTCAACACAACCTCTAGTAAACCGTTTCTGCCGTTCTTCTAATTTTAACCTATTTACCTCAAACTTGTGTAATCCTACATTTTTAATCGATTTTTGCTTCTGATGGTATTGTTGTTTGAGGAGCCCATAGTTTTGGATAAATTCAAAGAACCAAACCCAAGTTATCAGTCTTGTTCCCTCACCCACATCCTTTCTCCCACAGATTAATGTTTTAATATATCGATCTCAAATCAAACATATGGGATTAAATATACAATATCCTTGTAATTTAATATCTTATCTAATTTTAAAAATTTGATCAGGAATGAGTAATTTCACTAATGATTTTGTCATCAAATCTTCTGACATATGTTATGACGTTTCTTAAAGGATAGTGTGAATTTAAATATATTTGTTAATCTCTATGAATTTAATAACTTATTAGTTTAAATAAACACCCTGAATAAATAGTGTTTAAACTGCATATAAACCCATACGGTGACGTATCACAGATTCCGTTTAGTCTGAGCCGAGCCGAGCCGAACCAAATAAACTTTGTTCCCGTTTCATTACAAACTTAACCCTGGTTACATATTAACCCCTTAATCCAAACCCAAGCTTGGTTTATTTAAAGAAAGAGATAGTGTGAAACCAACTTGTTCATATTGAAAACGAAGAATCCTTGTTCTCACTCTCCATCTGTCTCCTCCTTTCCTGGCTCTGCAAATAGATAGCCCAAATTAAAGTTTCTCTCTTTCAAACCAATTCATTTCTCTCTGATAATAGAAACGATTCACACTTCTGGCGCCATGAAGAGACTAAGCAGCTCAGATTCAATGTGTGGACTTATCTCCACTTCTACAGGTTTTTACAAAAAGAAAAATTCTTTTTTCTTCTTTTAGCTACTCTCAGAGAAAATCAAATTATCACAATCTCTACTGTTTTAGACTTTTAGCTTTTTTATTGACAAACTCATTGGTTACATTTACAACAGATGAGCAGAGTCCGAGAGGGTACGGAAGTAATTTCCAATCTATGCTTGATGGTTACGAAGAAGAAGGCACAACGGTCGAGGAATATTCCGGTAACCACCACCACATGGGTCTATCGGAGAAGAAGAGACGGTTACGCGTCGACCAAGTCAAAGCTCTTGAGAAGAATTTCGAGCTCGAGAACAAACTCGAACCTGAGAGGAAAACGAAACTGGCACAAGAGCTTGGTCTTCAACCTCGTCAAGTAGCGGTTTGGTTCCAGAACCGCCGTGCACGGTGGAAGACAAAACAGCTCGAGAAAGATTACGGCGTTCTTAAAAGCCAATACGACTCTCTCCGCCACAATTTCGATTCCCTCCGCCGCGATAACGATTCTCTTCTCCAAGAGGTGAGAAAAATTCTATTTTTAAAATTGAAAATCATAAGATTTTTTTTTTTTTTTTTATAACTGAATTTTTGAAATTTGTTTTGGTTGCAGATTAGTAGAATCAAAGCTAATATAAACGGAGAAGAAGATAACACCAACAACAAAGCTACGACGGAGAGTGATATCTCCGCCGTCAAGGAAGAGGAGGTTTCGCTGCCGGAGAAATCATTTCACACGATTCCTTCTTCTCCTCCTCAATTTCTAGAACATTCAACCGGTTTTAACTACCGGCGAAGCTTCACCGATCTTTGCGACCTTCTACCGAATTCTGGCGTCGACGCTGGATCTTCCGACAGCTGCGATTCAAGCGCCGTTCTCAACGAAGAGACCAGCTCCGATAACGTAAGACTTACGCCGCCGGCGAATGTCACCTCTGGGAATTTCTTACAGTTCGTGAAAACAGAGCAGTCGGAGGATCACAACGATTTTCTGAGCGGTGAAGAAGCTTGTGGTTTCTTTTCCGACGAACAGCCACCTTCACTTCATTGGTATTCCGCTTCTGATCATTGGACATGAGAAACGTTAATCGGAGGAGATCGAATTATCGATTTCTCTTGTGCTCTGTTCTTACTCTCTGTGGCAAACAGAATTGAGGGCAAAAGTGGAATAATCATTAATAAGGAATTAAGGAGTAATTCTGTAATTGGGATTAAATTGTAAACTATACTCCCATTTCCATGAACTCCTCCAAGTCCAAATTATATTCCAGTTTTTACCCATAAATATTTCACATGAGAAATATAACCTTTCTTCTTCTCCTTTATTTCTGTAACATCAAAGTAACCTTGTTCTTGTGCTGTATTACGAGACCATGTGCAATTTTTAAATTTATAAAATGGATAAAGTGGGAAATCATCACTATATTAGAATAGTTACTTGTAAAATCTGTCTAATCAAGTAATTATCACTAGAATTCTTTAATATGGTAGTAACTAACAACATAATGACGATAGTGCATGATAGTTCTATCAAGATTTAATAATTGGTTAGTGAATTGACCTTATTGGAAACTATAATTAAACTTCAATAACTTTGTGATCCAAGTAATGATTCTTTTGCTCTCTCATTCACTAGGAAACATTAAATACACATAAAGTAGGTTGTAGTTTTGAGATTTGATCAAATGAAAATTCAATATTTTCGAGATATAAAGGGGTTGATATTGAAGTTGTAAAGCATAGGGAGGGTAAAAGGGAATCTGAGACAGTTAAGGGTAGAAAATAAAAAAATGATGAAAGAAAAGACGTGTGATTAGTTTCTCCGTAGCCGCAGCTTTTCTCCCCACGACCGCGACATCTCTCTTTCTTTTATATATTTTCATTGTTTCCATCCGTGATAACGACAATGTACTAGTGATCACGACAAGAACAAATTCATCTTTGTCATTTACTTGATTGTATACGAATGGTAGATACATGTAATGTTACAAATTACAATCAACGGTAAAATTTACAGGAGTGACTTCTTATGATCTCTTCAACGTAAACATCGTGGTTTTACATTGTGTCATTGTTTGTTTACTATAAATATATATATTGGTAAAAAACATGTTTTGGTCGTATTTATTTGTACTCTTATAGTTTCCATTTCTTGTTCTCCAATTTAAGTACAAACCAATTAGTAGCAGTCTTGTTCTCCATCGCTTTTACTACCATAATAGTTCTTCAATTCTTGAAAGTGGCTTTTAGAAACGGCGGAAACCTGGTGATTCCCGTAAAAAGGTTTTGATGGCTATAAGCCTATAACAAATACTTGGTGTGCGAAAAGAAAAGTCGAAATTTTCCACACAAAGAAAAAGAAAGGTGGTAAATTAATAAATACTAAAACATAGGATTGGCTAGTGAAATGCTACCATCATCATCGAAGTGCTTTTGTGTTTATGATTGTGCGTACGTTTTTAAGTGGAAGAAGCATGGGACATTGTTTTTAGTGAATGATGAAAACATTCTGACACAGTCAGAGAAGCTTTTACCATTGTCACGGATCAAATCTCCGTATCTGAAATTGAGGCATTCAAATCATGAGATGACGCAAAAAAAAAAAAATTACAATTATTAATTACCAGTATTTTGATTTGATTTAATGCTAAATATCTATGAAGAAAATTACAAATATTACTTACAAAATTACAAATTTTCCCTCCGAAAATGCTAAATATCTATGAAGTATATACTTTTGATTATAAAAAGTTATCAAAATAAAGTTAGACAACAACTTTGTTATAGACTTTTGGTTATTATTTTTACCTATAGTGCCAAATGGCAGAGAAAAGTAGATGGGGCCTACGCTATAGCTTCCTTATTTTCTCCTTTTTCTTTATACGAAGCTGCGAGAAAAATGGGACCCGCATTCCCATGTGGTGTAGGGCCACGATTGCATCAAAGAACATGTCGTTTTCGTCATTGCCATTTGTCACTATCCAACGAAATAAACAATTTTGTTTTATGATTCGAATATTTTATTTATAAAATCAGAAAAAAGCTCGCAGGATATAGCTGGAGTTGGATAGACACGTGTACAGTGTTCTTTTCTCAGCCTTCCGATTCCACGGCGTCCATTCACAGCCGTCTATTTCACTACTTTATTGGACCATTCGGAGTTTCACTATCGAACCATTCCAATAGAGGGACGGTTTGATTTGGCAATAGGTTAACCGATAGGGTGTGTGGTGTTTAGAGTTATCAATATAATTTTATAAGTAACAAATAAGTAAAAAAATATAGATAGTATGACAAAATTCATCATAGAAATCTAAGTGATAGAATTGTAGCTTCTACGAAGATTATTGTAGTGTCCATTATAAACCCTATACACGTATTTTCAATGCTATTGCCTATGAAGACGATCGAGTTCTATCTCTTTTTCATTAGAAATATCAAAAATGATATGCTAATAGAAATATATTGCTCGATACAAAGAATATGATCGCCTTTTTTTCTGATATAGGTTATGTTTTTCAACACTCTCGTGTTTTACAGGGCCCGCTTGTAGAAATTCAAATATGCTTTGATAGTGAAAGGCTTTTTAATATGTGTATGAATAATTAAATGTGTATATAAACTATAAAGTATAAACAAACACGCAAATGGTTTAAACAACGAAAACAAAGGACTCTCTCAGCTCTCAAGTCTTTATTTCTGGAAATTCTTGTAATACTCTGAATTTGAAAATATCTAATTAGCTGTTAAGATCATTTGCATAATTAACTATACACTCAACAGCAAAATTTTGTTGAAAAATAATACATTTGTGACTCTTGTTTATTATATTTAGAGACTAGTTAGCTCGACGCAAATGCAGGACTGCTCAATCCTATTTATACCAAGCTCCACAAAAGAGTGTAATTATAATAATACTATGTATGAATACGAGCCTAAGAGGTCATTTGGTGCATCATCATTGATTTCCTTACTTTCTATATTGTTTCTGAAAAGAAAAATAGATTAATTGTAAACAAATCAGCACTAGTGCGATTGCGATTTCTAAGAAATTGGACGATACAATATTAATCAATATAGACAAAAATTAATAAGAAACCAAAAGTGATAACAAACCATTATAGTAAATTTTTAATTTGAACAAAAAAATCGAATACGTTTACGAAAGACCCGTTGTAGGAGACTGCTTATTATTTACGGCTCGCGCCGGCTTAAGCAAGAGAGACAGACCAAATAGCATTTTGATCAAACGACAACACTTTGTCTCGTTTAAAGACGATACGGCACGTGTCTGTCAACCAGTGGTCATAACTCCTACAAACTAGTTCGAGTCAGCAATAGTGGAGCCTACATTTTTTTGACCTTTTTGCAGATATTAAAAGTCAAATTATTCGGCGTTTTATTTTGGTAATAAAAGACTTTACTATGAGTCTATGACAGAACTTTATGTTATTTTCCTCTTTCTCCGACTCTGTTTCAGGGACAAAACTCAAAGAGATGTAGCAAGAGTTTGTGATGTATAGTGGCCCAACAGTTTCCTTGTTATTGGGCTGGTCGGCCCAGTAAGATCCAATCAAACAGAATAAATACAATCTCTAATCTCTAATGTGTTCCTACATAGCTAACAGTCTACTAAGGCAATTAAAGTTAACTTTGATGCTAACAAACCTTTAACTTTTTGTTTTGTTTTCTCTTCTGTTCTCGTCACCACTACGTACCTCCTTTGATCTGGTAATGCAAAAGCTTTAAATTTCACTTTGTGTCAAACATACATGTTGACATTATCATTTAAAAGAACAATCTCTACTTCTTTCTTTTGGCTTTATTTTTTCTTTAGTTTGACCGTAATAGCTTCTTGGCACTTTTTGGAGTCACATTTTTCCTTTTCTTCTTTATGTTTTCTCGTCTCTATCTTTTCTTTCTTTCTTTCTTCTATAAAAGCATTAAGTGATTCTGTATACATATAGTTTATCGTGGAAGCTTAACGATATACGGTAAAAAACAATTTTTGTCACGATATTCGGATAATAGATTGGTCTAGCCACATACGAGTACGCCTAGTCAACCGAGCTGAATTATCGATATCCGTTAACAAACAAAATATATAAATACATCCAACTCAAATATTCTCCGAGTTATTCGTGAGACCGGATGTTGAGCGTTCCAACATATAAGACAAATTATACAATAGGATGAAGAATTTTAAAATACTTACTAGTTTTTAAATGATATATTTGCTTGGAGCTTTTGTTTGTTTTTTAGTCCAATGGAATGTATTCATGTGATAGGGTCACACGATAAACATTTAAACTAAATCATGTCCAATATAGAGGTACATTTTGTAACTAGCAAATAAAGTTTCCCACCTAATATTTAAAGCTTTTAACAAAAAGGCGACGTACCATTTGGTCTGCGAAAGCAAATGAAATTATTTTTAAAAATTATATTTATTTAATTCATGTATCAAACAAAATTAGGTTCGGATTTAAAAATGAATATTCAGAATAAAAATCATTTGTAAATAGAGGTCAGACAACTAACATCTAACTACTACTAGAATAAGTTAATGGAATCATGCCCCACTGCTATTTTAATTCGCAGATGTAAAGACAAAATATTTATTTGACATTTTGTATATATAATCATTTCTCTTCTTTTCCATATCAACGGATTCATTTTTTTGTTGTCAACCATGTACCATCTATAGGTTATCTTGTTAGTTGTGATTGGGATTATCACGTAGTAACTGTTAAAGAAAATGTAACTCGAGATTCTCTAAACGTAGCACCGTTATTTAAGTTTATAGCAATCATGTCATATCAAACTCGACTATTAAAAATCGATTTCGTTATCAACAAGACCATTATAAAAACGAGCATAAGCGACACGACATGTCACGTCGGTCCACCTTTAGTTTATAAATTTCTGTAGAAATGATGATTACACCATTAGTTGAATTTAGAACAAAATCCGGAAAGTGAAAAGACCAGTGATCAATATGAAAGTCAACGCTTCTGTATATACTTTTAACATTTATCATTTAACAAAATTCAGATGGTAGAGCAAATAGTAATTTTTTTTTGTAGCGATATATCACGGGTTCTACAACTATTAACTAAACTGCATAGTGGTAAAATTCTTTCCGTATTTAAATTGAAATGCAACCGAACGAAAACAACAATTTACATTTCAATCAATAACCCTTTTTGCGTAAGATTCCTATAATCAATGAAATTATTGACGTAGAGACAAAATGGTAAAGTAGTACCAGAAACTAACTAAAAAATGATCATATAATTTTCACAATTAGTACATCAACGAGCTGGTTCTTTGTAGACACGTACGTTACGGAAATGTGCTGAAGCCTGAAGCTATATACAATGCATGTATCATCATGAATATATGTGTGTGTAGTGTAGATAATAGATGCCAGCTCGTCTGACGATGATTACAAAACAGAGACGAATTTATGATTCTGCAAAATTCTCTCGTGGGTTCGTGCGCACATGCGCTTTTGCTCGTAGCGATGCTTATTTTTGTGAATATAATAATAATCCAGCTAATAACTGTTTTCACATATTCCGAAAATATAAACAAATAATGCTAATTTTAACTGTCACGCATTTGCAAAATATGTACACCGTAATGACTACTGGTAATAACTAATAAGCATCCTATGATTGTATTTGATACACATAATTATAGTCTTAAATTTATATACGACTAACAATAATTATTATTCCCAAGGGATTCAATTTTTTCCTCAACTGCTTTTAGAAAGGTGAACAACTAAAAGAGGAAAAATAGAAAAGCTGAAAAAACAAGTTGGATAAATTGGGACATTTACATAATTAAACGAAGTAAAAAAAAGAAGCATATATTTACTTTTGGGATTCTCTCATCTATTATCTCTCTCTCCACCGTCGTTCCTTAAAGTCTCTCTTTCTCTCTCTGTAGCATTTTAGAGCCGATGATAAACGACGGCGGATTTCACCGGTACTGAGAGGCAAACAGTCGCAGATGGCGAAGGAAGATGTTTCGAGCAATTTCCGAGCCTTGGTGGAGAACGCTGACCGGAAGTTCGCCAGAGTTCGCGATCTCCCGGCGTTTGGACGAGCACAGAGTCACTACTTCCACAAGGTTTTCAAGGCCTACATGAAGCTCTGGAATTTTCAGCAGTCGCACAGGTCGAAGCTGGTCGAGTCCGGTCTAAACCGGTGGGAAATCGGCGAGATCGCGAGCCGGATTGGCCAGCTTTACTTCAGCCAGTACATGAGGACCAGCGAGGCTCGGTTCCTTCTCGAGGCTTATGTGTTCTACGACGCGATTCTGAGGAGGAGGTACTTCGAGGAAGCTCACGGGAAGGATCTCAATGCTCGATTCAAGGAGCTCCGGTTCTACGCGAGGTTTTTGCTCGTCTCGTTGATTGTGGATCGGAGAGAAATGGTTATGCACTTGGCCGAGAAGCTTAGGGTTCTGGTGGATGATAGCAAGTCCAATTTCAGGGTAATTTCGATTGAATTTCGATTTACCCTTTTGATCCATTTGAGCATTTGACGAATTTGTTAGCAGAAATAGCATTAAATTGGTCAAAGTCTATCATTTATATTCCAAATCTGTGTCTTTCTTATTCTGTTGAGGACTTGGATATAGTGATGATGTGATTTGGATAATTCTTTGCGCAGGAGACGAACTTCAAGGAGTGGAGGCTAGTTGTGCAAGAAATCACTCGATTTACGAATTCCGATACAAGCTTAACTTATCTCAGGCCTCTTCGTTACTGCGCAATGCTCGATTCCTTTCCAGCTTCTCAAACGTACCTAGCGAGGTTCCACGCTAAGAAACTGTTCAAGTTTCGTGATGCTCTCTTGGCAAGCTATCACCGTAACGAGGTAAACTTTAGATAAGATTTTGCCATCTCAAATTCGGCTTTGTTGCCTTTGATATTCATTATGTGAGTTGGTTTTTCTCAGGTGAAATATGCTGAAGTGACGTTGGATACGTATAGGATGATGCAGTGTTTAGAATGGGAGCCTAGTGGATCTTTTTACCAGAAGCGGCCTGTGGAAACGAAGGAGAATGGTTTTGTGGTTGATCATACTTTAACTTCTGGGCTTATAGATATGAAACTGGCTGCTGATATGGCTGATCCAACATTACCTCCTAATCCTAGGAAAGCTATTCTTTATCGTCCCACAGTATCCCACTTGCTTGCGGTGAGTTTGATGTGTATCATATTGGACTTTCTGATTTTTTTTGCCTTCTTCATATGTTGAAACTGTTTCCTGGTGATATTTGCAGGTCTTGGCAATGATTTGTGATGAGCTCTCTCCAGAGAGTGTGATGCTGATATATTTGTCAGCTTCAGGTTAGGTTTCTTTTTGTTGTCACTTGAAACTTCTAAGGTTTTTTTCTTCTTCACATGATATTGGTACGTTTATTCAGGTGGACCTGCTCGGGACAATGTTGCGCAGCCAGAGAACCCTGTCGGTTCAAGCAGAGCATCAAAAAGCAAGTTGCTTGGACGAGCATCCCAAGAACAAAAAAGTTACAGAACAGAACCTCTTAGCAATGGACAAATTAATTCTGGTGATTATTATGAGGATCATCTCTGGTTAGGTCCTAGAGGAGGCTCTGGTAAGTCGGTTTCTCTCGGATTAACATATTTATATGTCACGAAAGAGCAGACTTTTCTCACTCACTGGAATGTTTTTCTTCTTCTTTCAGGTTCAAACAACCTTTACCCTGGTGATCTAATCCCATTTACAAGGAAACCGCTCTTCTTGATCATTGATAGCGACACTAGCCGTGCATTCAAGGCAGGTTTGTCATAACTTTTAGTTTATCATTTTCTCTCACTTGAGAGTCTATTAGTTTCTCTGAGTCACTGTGATGTTTGCTGATTATAAAATAAAACAAACTCCAGGTTTTGAACGGCGCAGAGAGAGGCGAGCCTGTTGCTCTACTTCTTTCTCCTCTGAAGCCGTCATTGGAGAACCCATCTGCTGACGATGACACAGAAGCACTAAACGGAAGCCAGTTTACGTTTTTCTTAACAGCTCCTTTACAAGCGTTCTGTCAAATGCTGGGCCTCTCAAACTCAGACCCCGACCCTGTAAGCAAGCGCTTGTGATTTAGAAATTAACCTTAAACGAACCAGACATTGCTTTGCATTGCCTCTTACCATTTTTGATTCACAATCTCCAGGAAGTTTACGATGAAGCGGAGAGCATACTTTCTGCTTCCTTTTCCGAGTGGGAAACGATTCTCTTGACTTCCAGAGTCTTGAATCTCGTCTGGGCACAGATCATGCCCGATCCATTCTTGAGACGTCTGATTCTGAGGTGAGTCTTCTTCTTTTTTAGCTTACTGAATAAAAAAAACCAAACAAAGCATCATCAAATTCTCTAATGTTGTCTTGTTGTTATGTGTAGATTCATATTCTGCCGGTCTGTAATGACTTCATTCAACCGCACAGAAGATCATGACCCGTATCTACCTCAGTGCCACCCGAATCTCCCGGAGTCGGTTTCACCGTTATCTAAACCGGTGCAGTCCTCAGTACAACGACTAGCTGATCACTTTGGTGTTGCCAAATCTTTCCACTTCAACAACTCATAAAATTAGAGAAACCCCATGAGCCTCTCCATAATAGGTTGTTTATTCCATTTTTATATAGAGAAAGTCTGTATTTTTTTTAGGGTATAAAGAAAATGTAATTTGAGGATGAGGTTTTTTTATATTTTGATTTTGATGATTCTTTGGTTTTCTCCTCTTTGTAAAAGATTAGAACCAGGTAATAAATTTTTAGTCTCTTGTTAGGATTGTTTGTTTTGTGAACAAAGGAGATGAACAAATCTGTGCATTGCATAACAAAATGTGACATTGGTTTTTTTGTGATGATGAAGTTTCAACATTTGAGCTAGAACCAAGTAAGACTCAATCCTAGCCGTCAAATATCAATGGTGTCTTACTAAGATATAATCCTAGCCATTGACTCCAATTTCTAAAACGAACCGCTTGATTTTGCTGTCTTCTACTTCTACGACCTCTCGCTAGTGGAGAGGACGACGAAAAATGGAGAATTCGAGGTGAGTTTTGTTTTCGTATAATTTTCAATCGGACTTGACCTTTTGGTATTGTAGAGAATTGGATAATCCGATAGAATGTCGATTGAAAGTATATTCGGAGTGAGAATTAGGTTTTCTCTAGTCTGTATTTGCTTCTCATCATCATCCTCACCGAAAGTTTAACGATTTGGACAATTTCAATTCGATTATGATGGGATTTGATTTTGAGCTCTTAGATCTTCTGGTTTAATTCGCATATCCTCGAGAATTCTGATCCTACTTTGGTCTGTTTTTCATTTGCAGGTGGAGTTAACTCCGAGAAACCCAGAAACATCCTAAATCCACGATGTTGACATTGAAACCTTTGGTGCCTATTACATTAAAGCCTCGTTTTTTCTACAACATTCCGCAACATCGTGTCCATTTCCGCAAATCCCCATTAAAGCTCAAGACATATGCTCAAAACGACGGCAACGACTCAGCGAAGGAGTCTTCTAATGGCGGAAACAAACCGATAAGTAGCGACGATGAAAACGGTCCGAAGAAAGACGGATTCGCTGGCTTCAGTTTCAAATGGGGAGAGCTGTTGAATCCGGATCAAGACAACTTTGTGGCCATTGGATTAGCTGGAGTGTTGACTTGGGCTAGCCTTCAAGTTCTCTCACAGCTTTTCTTCATCTCTTTCGCTATCCTTGTCGCTGCTCTCAAGTATTCTTTCATCGCTGCGCTTCTCATTTTCATTCTCGTGACTCTCCTCTAGCTTTTGTAATGCTTAATGCCACAGATTGTTCAATGTAATATAGCTCTTTGATAATGGCGAGAATCAATCAGAAACTATTTCATTTGAATTTTCTTAAGCTTTTATTGGAATCCAAAACACATCTTTGTATATCAAAATCTAAAGAAGAAGAGACGACGAAGATTAAAAGAAGCTACTTTTTAGAGGATTTCTTCTTCGAGCTAAGGACGACTTCCGGTTTAGGATGCTTCTCGGCTTCACTTGGATCCAGCCATTTGAGAGGATGGCGATTGAAGAAAGGCCAATTCGGTACGGTGATCAGAGTCGTGAGGACAACTCCTCCGGCGTAAATCAACATCATCGTCCTAAACGACGCAGTTGCGTATCCAACAACGAACGATACGACGGCAGCGATCAATAGCAGGATCTGCATTAACAGCTCCGCCAATTTCTGTCCTTGCCAATCCATCTCTGAAACAACAAAAAACTGATTAGATCCTTCGAATTGAACCCAGATTATCACCGAATTCGAGCCTAATAGAACACTAATTATCAAACTAGAATCGAACAGATCGAAATCGACAGAGAATCCGTACCTGGAAAATGATGTGGATCGAACAGGTTTCTTCTCGACGGAAGTGTAGATTTGAGGAAGAAGACGACGACTCGGAAAATCGGTTAAATGCAACTAAACCGGAAAGTTTGACTAATGCACAACTAATTTAACAACACGTACGTAACGTACCCGTCGGATTCTGCAATTAATGGGCCTAATGTGTAAGCCCATGACGTCTCCGCCTAAAACTACCCTCAGAACGATTGATTTCCGCGATCCACGACGTTTCGAAATCAACCAATAGCAATCAAGTATGTTGCATTGGCGATCCTCGTCAAACCTGTAAAAGTAGATCTTGGCCGTTGATTGGTTTACAAGGAAACACATGTTGTAGTATTGCAGTACGTACGATTACATAACACGAGAAACACATTGATGAGCGATAATAACCGTCGGATCGTCGATCTGCATTACTATCGTTGCCTATAAATAAATTTCAGGCGCCGTTCACGCGAGATTAGTTTCATTAATATCTTTTTCGAGATCGGAGCATAAATTTGAATTCAGAGAAGCAAGAGAGGTTTCGAAGAAGACAAAGAGAAAGGTACGAGTTTTTCCGAATTTCTTAGTCTCTATTTTTGTTTCCTTGGAATGATTCTTCGTTTGATCTTTGAAATGCTGAAATCGTTTGGTAGTTGGAAATGGAATTAGTGCGGATTAGTTTCTATTCCTGATCATTATCGTCTTTTCGCCGATTCATGTTCTGAAATTGGATTTTAGGTTAGGAAGGAATCGTTACGCTAGATTTGTTCATCGTATTGGTAATTTGGATTGAATTTATCTGCTGGCTCTGAAGCTGTAGGCTGTGAATCAGTTTATCGGCGGTTGTTAATTAGAGTTTCGATTTCCCTCTTTGATAATTTCTTGTTGCCGCATTAATTCTTGGTGAATTTCTACGGATTCATCTGTAAACTTGCTGATTTCACGATTCATTTCGGAATTGAATGCTCACGGTCTAAGTCTTATTTTTGTAATCTTCAGATGGCTCGTACCAAGCAAACAGCTCGTAAGTCTACTGGAGGAAAGGCCCCTAGGAAGCAGCTTGCTACAAAGGTAAAGCTCTCTCACATTAGATTTGAGTCAGTGATGAACACAATTTTAGATTTTGGTATTAATTTAAACGCATGTTTCAATTTCATCAGGCTGCTCGCAAGTCTGCCCCAACCACTGGTGGAGTCAAGAAGCCCCATCGTTACCGTCCAGGAACTGTTGCTCTCCGGTATGTGATCAGTTTCCACCAAGTAAAATATAGTCTCTCTTGGGTATGTTCTTGTTTGACATTTTAGCTGACGAACTCTGTTTCTTTGATTCTTGTTTTTGGCTGACAGTGAGATCCGTAAGTACCAGAAGAGTACCGAGTTGCTTATCAGGAAGCTCCCATTCCAGAGGCTAGTCCGTGAGATTGCTCAGGATTTCAAGGTAATGTGCTTACTTTCTCTTTACTGAAAAGTTAATTGTGTGATTGTTTTTAACTTTCTTTATGTTTCTGTTTTGTTATCCTTACGCTTTTCTCTCTTATCCCTGTGATTGCAGACTGATCTGCGTTTTCAGAGCCATGCCGTGCTTGCACTCCAGGAGGCTGCAGAAGCATATCTAGTGGGTCTCTTTGAGGACACTAACCTCTGCGCCATCCATGCCAAGCGTGTGACCATCATGCCTAAAGACATTCAACTCGCTCGCAGGATCAGAGGAGAACGTGCTTAAGTGGTGTTGGGGGAAACTGTGGTGGTCGTATTATGTGAATGTGGTTTGTTCTAAATAGGGTAGATGGGATTTAGATGATGGCTTTATAAGCTTTTGGTTTTTTAGGGAGACGTCGAAAACAATGATGGTTGGTTGGTTTTATGATTTGCTGGTGTTTTGTGGTGTCTGTTGCTTCTTTGTCAATATTGAACACCTTTTTGTGTTGTTGGATTTCATTACTAAAACAATTAATATGTTGAAGTTTGACTACTTGTTTTTTTTTTGTCAATGATTCGTTTTGGTTTGCATTTTTTATCAAATCGGCTTATAGCTGCAAAATGAAAGTTTGTTTCGAACAATTAACCTAATCATCAAGTGATAACGAAATCGGTGATCCGTGTGAAACTGAAAATTTTCGATCGTAGCCGTTGGGATGGATTGAGAAAACACAAAGTGCAAATGTTATAACCGTCGGATGAGGGATTAAAGGAAGCACACGAGAGCGTATCCGTGATAAGCCCTTTCGTTGGTTTATTATAAATAACCCATTCAACGGCATTGTGGCCACAACCACAAGCTTCAATTAATCTCCTCTATTACTCTCTCTCTCTCTCTCTCTGATTGGAATACATAAGTCAGTCCAATCGAAGCGAATAGGAGGTATGATTTCGGATTGGTTTACAGTTTACTTCTTTCAATAAATTTCCTGTTACTGTCTTCGATCTGAATATCTCTCTGATTTTTTCCGACAAAAGAGTTTTGTAATTTGTCTAATTCCAGTTTGAAATTAAAAAAGACGAATGTCCCTCTCAAATTTGCTTGATCGATTGCCCTGTGTAGATCGAGTCTGGTCTTTTTGTTGGTTGGTCCACTCTTCATCTTTCGTTTGTTTCTAGCTTTGACGCCTAGTGTTGCTGATGTTTTTGTGTTCGATTGTCATCATTGCGTTTCGATGTTTTGATAATTAGGGTTTAGTGTTAATTTACCCCTTTTTGCTCTATCTGGATTGCTAACAACTCATTGTCTATAATTTCAATTTTCTTCATCAGTTTGTTATGTATAATCGAATTATATAACTTAATTAGAATCAAAATTTGGTGTTTAGGAAGAGATGGCTCGTACCAAGCAAACCGCTCGTAAGTCCACTGGAGGAAAAGCTCCGAGGAAGCAACTTGCCACTAAGGTTTGTTTCTTTTAGTCTCTTTTGTAAACCGCAAGTCTCCTTTTATCACGAAATTGAGATCCAATCGTCGTCTTCTTCTTAATTGAACACAGGCTGCTCGTAAGTCTGCGCCAACCACTGGTGGAGTCAAGAAGCCACATCGTTACCGTCCTGGAACCGTCGCTCTCCGGTTAGTCCATCTTCCATTTCCATATCATTCTTCTTCTCCATTGTCTGATTATGTTTCTTTGTAGTTAAATCTCTCTCCATCCTTTGATAATGACAGTGAAATCCGTAAGTACCAGAAGAGTACTGAGCTGCTGATCAGGAAGCTCCCATTCCAGAGGCTAG